CAACTTCATTCAAGGACGCCGTATAAGAACCGTTGCGTCAAGGTGCTCTCTACATGGCCGCTCGGAGACAGACCGAGATTACTCTCATGCTCATGGATCTTGCCGAGAAGATCCAAGTCAACGTCTGGGCTCTCGGAGACACCTACAAATCCTTTCTTAAGAAATTGGGCGAGAACGATCCGGCACAGCTGGTTGGCAATACGGCGGTTCAGGAGATCGAGCCTTTGATGCTCAAATACTGCAGGAAACTCGAATTTGGAGACGACTCCTTCCGGGTCGCTGCGGATGCTTGTAAAATCCTCAAACGGATGAAGCGCGACTGGATGGTACAAGGCCGCCAGCCTGCAGGTCTTTGCGGGGCTTGCATTATTCTCGCCGCACGTATGAACAATTTCCGACGCACCGTTCGAGAGGTCGTCTACGTCGTCAAGGTTGCAGATTCAACAATCAACTCCCGTCTGTATGAATATAAACAGACACCCAGTTCCGTCCTGACTATCAATCAATTTCGCGAATTTGGCCAGCGCTTGAAGGTCACTACACAACCCCCCGCTATTTGGAGACGTGAGCAGAAGGAAGAACGCAAGGAGAAACGCAAGCGGGTCCAGCTGCACGAAGACAGCGCAGCGGCTCTAGAAGAATCGGACAGCAGCGAGATGGAGGCCGGCCCAAGCACTACACCTGCAAGGACCAGCAAGCGCTGTAAGCAGAACAATGGTATTTCACAACGCGCTCCTTCACAGGGTGAGGCTTCCGGAGTTCCACTTGTCAGCGACGCCGATCTTGGTGATGGCGGCCTTGACGGCAACGACGAAAACCTGATAGACTCGCTAGATGCTGCCATGGAGGACGCTGAAGAGGGGGTCCCGGAAGACGAAGCCTTCGTCATGCCCAAGAAGCGAGGTCGACCTAGGAAGCGAGAGATGGTAGTCATCGCGCCAGAGGACCTCGAAATTGAGCAGGAAAATCGAGTCCGAAGTCACCGAACAGATCAAAGACTGGGAATCTATCTTCAAGGAGTTCACCGAGAACGAGAACCACCCGTTGTTGAAAGGCTTCCGACTGGACCGCGCAACAAATGGGCGCGCGCACACCTCGACCAACGCGACATTCCAGTGAATAACTCCGCTGACATCGAGGAAGACGAGTTCGAAGACGATCCCGATGTCGCAAACTGCATTCTCGCTCCTGAAGAAGTTCGCAGGAAAGAGCTTATCTGGATCACAGAGAATGAGGATTGGTTGCGTGCGCAGCAAAAGAAGCTACTCGAAGCCGAGCTTGAGGCCGCCGAAGACAAGCCCAAGAAGCCAAAGCAGAAGCGTAAGCACCACCAGATGGGTGACGGCTCTGTACTTGAAGGTCAGCCTGCAGCTAGCGCGGCAGAGGCAGCGCACAAGATGCTCAAGAAGAGGAGCAAACAATTCAGTAACCACATCAATTACGATCGTCTCAAGGAATTGTTCCCCGGCGGCAACATGGCTAGCTCGCCTTCTGGCACTGGGAGTGGTACAGGTGCTAGTCCGGCTGCGAGCCAAACCGTGCAGACGCCGCCCGTGGTTCAGATCCCAGACGAGGACGCTGAAGGTGAGGAAGAGGAAGAGGAATACGAGCAGGAGGTGGAAGATGAAGAAGATCTAGAGCACAACTACAGGAGTGAGGAAGAAGGTTTCGAAGGATATGACGATGATAACTACTGATCTTCCCCGAAGATGTTACTGCAAGGTCTGTTGGCAATCAGGTTGGGGTTGTAGAGTAATATTGAGCATGTTGGATTTACGGCGCGAAAAACTTTGGGAATATTTTGCTTAGCAGGACATGATTTTGGCGACACATGTACCGCACACGGAGTCATGTTTGGCTAGTTTTGGCCATCTTAGGAGTACTTTGGGTTGCATAGATACCCACACAGCTTCATCGCAAGCATAGCATTGGAATGGAGTTTTGATTTGTTCGTCATGTTGGAGCGTTTGTGCACAATTGACGTTGTCATATACCCGCAACACTCGCGGTTCACACTTGTACGTCAAGCCAGCCATGTCATCACAGATGGATATGAAATGGGCAATATTTTGGTTGTAGGGGAGGAATTCCCAATCCATTTCAGAATGTGGTCCCTGCTTTCGTGACCTCGTGAACATGCGCATCATGCTACCCTAAGTTTTTGGTATATGCGAAGATCTCCGTTTCCCCCAACGCCAAAAAGGAACCTCTTCACAAAGGAAGTCTATCATGAGGTCCTATCCAAACAAATCAATACTTTGCTGGCGTCTAGCACATCTTGTACTGCGCATTGCCCGACACCTGCCTGTGCATGTCCTCCGTCTCGAGCTGGTACGAGATTTTGATGTCCAAATCGCGGTGGTTCTTCTCGCTCGGCCTGGTGTCAAGGACGCCGGTTATGCTCTCACCCTCCTCGACGGTCAGGACGTCCTTGAGGTAGAAGACGGTTTGTTTCCAGTGGGTGTACTTTGTGTGGGGGCCTGTGGAAAACTTGATGGGCTTGTGGCAGGCGGCAAACTCAATGTCGAACCACGCGATGACGGCATGGACGAAATCTGAGCGGCGGACCTTGAGGTTGTAGGGCATGTTGAAGGCGAGGTCGGCAACAGTGCACGTGTAGAGATCGAGGGTGAGGACGGGGGAGGGGTCGGTGACGACGGCCTTGATGTCGACTGTGTCGACGAGGGGCTCGGTCATGGCGGTGGCCTTGAGGGGAGAGTAGTCGAAGCCCCAGACGTTGTCCCAGACTAATACAGTGTTAGCCGCCGGCGCTGATTCTGGCAGGATTTTCCAAACTCACATCCAATCTTCTCCTCCTTGTACTCGCCGTCCTCAATACCGGCCATGAAGATGGTGGCCTTGTCGGGGAAGATGAGGCCGTCCTTGACCAGGTACTTGTCGCGTGCATACAGGACCGTGTCCAGCATGGACTCGTAGAGCAGGAAGTAGCCCATCCACTCGGATATTATGATGTCGACCTTGTCGAATGGCAGCACAACCTCCTCCATCTTGCCTTGCAGCAGTGTGATCTTGTCCGACATGCCGTTCGCCTCGACGATTTCGCGCGCCTTGTCGATGATGGTCGACATGTCTACACCGATGACATGCTTGGCACCTGCCTTGACGGCGAACCTGTATCGCGTGTGTCAGTGCATGCTCGCGTGCGCAGTTGTGGGGTCTTTGGGGCGGTCGAACATGCTGAGGATGGATGTTCCGCATCCGACATCCAGGACGATCTTGTCCTTGAAGAGGTGGCCATTCTGGTAGATTGAGTCGCGGTAGCTCTTTGTGCGGACCTCGTCTTTCTGCAGCCGCCTCGTCAGCCTTCGGCCCGATGCAATGAATAATAAATGTGAATGCAAGGCTCGCAGGAATGCAGATTCAGGCGCTACGTACCAGCATCTCCTCGTGAATGCCTACACCTGTGCATTAGTAATCTTGCATAGTGTTCAGCGGTGTGAAAACGGACCATGGTGGTTGTAACTATGCAAAACAGGTCAGTCAGTGTATTCTCTGCGACTAGGCTCGCGTGGGAGGTACCTGTTGAAGTAATGCGCCTCAGAGTGCGCCATGCCCGAGAGCGGGTCGGTCTTTGCTGCGTCAGCCTGGTTCGCCATGTTGACGGGTGTGAGGGAGGGGAAAAGGTAGGCAGGGAAAAAGAAGAAGGGTGCGGGAGTGAAGTGCGCGCTGCTGCCGCTACAAAAGTTTAGACTCGAGAGATTTTTGGTTTCCATAGGGCCGTGCCCCACTACGGCGACCGCAGGGTAACGCAACCTAGGCCCAAAAGAGATAGCCCATGACTTTGCCTTGCAATCGTTGTCGGCACATGGGTGTACGTGCGTACATTGCAAAAGAGTGTGTGGTTGATTTGTTCGGGTGCTACCAAATACTATCATAACATGCAGACTGCGCAAAGAAAGAATCGTCGCCAAGTACATGCAACACCAAGTCAATTTGTGTCAACGTACAAAAACAAAAAGCAAAAAGCAAAAAGCAAAAAGCATCTGTGCTGAGAGGGTATATCATGCAAAAAGCAGAGACCACCCTCGTCGTATCGTCGTTACTCGTTGAGTCGTAAACATTTTTTGGTTCGTAAATTCGTGCATCATGGTGCCGTCGATGGCCGTCGTTCTTCTTCTCCCACGCCGTGAAGACTCGGGAAAACAATGACGGGGATGCGCTAGGTCAGGCTTGACCATCATTCTCGGTAGTGTGTCAAGGCCGAATCCTGTGGAACATGTCCATGAAGTCACGCGCATCTGCTCAAGTCAGTACTCTGATCGCAATTACAGCGGTAGCGACTTACCCTCTGATGCAGTGAACGTCAGCTGGTACTTCTTATGCGCATCCTTGGGCACTTTGTAACCTTCGCAGAAGACATAGGGATGAAGCTCGCGGAAATGGATTGTTGCTCCAGTCCTCTTCATCCAGTTTCTGTGGCCAATGTACTGTGTCACGAAGGCTGTCCAGATGGGGATCGACTTGAGTGGTCCGCGGCGAGCGGTGGCCTGGAAGCGTACGCATTTCGAGTCCTCGTCTTGAAGGACCTGGAACTTGTGAAGATATCTCGAGTCGGTGATCTCGCTAGTTCCATGTAAGTACAAGAATTGATCAGGACCCTAGTTTGACTTACCTGCTGAACTCTATCTGTTCGCCCGGATCAAAGAAGTCCTCAAGCCCTTCGGCGATGCCAAACTCGTCCTGGCGCTTCATCGCGACAGCCGTGCAGTAGAAGAGGACCATCCCTGAATGCCAATTAGAAGGGATATCATGCCGATGGTGTGTGGAGTACTCACGTTCGTGTAGCAGGAAACGTAGCCTTGCCCAAAGATCCAACTGTCCATCTCTGCGGTTGATGCGACACAGCTGAAGACAGGAATCCGTGCGCAGTAGTTTGAGTCCGGTCAGCGGAAGGCAGTAACGCATACGATGACCTGCATTGTCTTTCGTGAGAAACAGTATGCGAGCCCGGTTGTCCTCGGGCCGCCAGTATAGGCGGACATAGACATCTGTCTCCTCGAATGGCAGCTCTACGACCTTTATGAACCCGTCGCTGTCGAGAAGCTCGATAGCTTTGGTTTCGTCGCGTCCAAGACAAACAGTGGAATCACCAAGGGTATGGAAAGGAGTAGATGTGTGTCGTCCGTCGAAGATCTTCATAGCCCAATGAGCCACTGGCTCGCCCGAATCGGTGGATCCGTTCGAGTAGGTATGTGATGAAGCTGACGAATACGTGGGTGACTGAGGTATCTCTGGAACAGGTGGTGGTATGAATGGTATGTCGCCTATGCCAACGCCACCCCACGTAGGTGCAGCATGAGGTCGGGGAGGCGGTGGTGGCGGCTGGACATATGCATATCCAGCTGCAGGGTATGTGGGGTGGCTGTGAATACTCGGTCTACGGACTTTGGGAGAAGCAGGCTTTGGCGTTCGAGCATAGCCATGTGCATGTCCCTGAACTGACAATCTGTCGAAGTACGATTCGATCGGCTCCTGTTTCTTGAGTAGCTTGGATAGTCGAACTTTGATGGAATGTAACTCGTCCGCATCCTCCTGTCTATGGTCCATCAGCTTGCACTCCTAGCAATTTTCCAGATGACTTACCCTTGCAACGCTTCGTACATGCCATACAGATATGTTCTGTACAATTCCAGCCTGATTGGCAGGGATATGCCCTGGGCCATCAGGTCGGCGAGCGAGTCCTCCCATAGCTCTGCATATGGTGGGGTTCCAGGAAAAGCACCGGGGGCTGTACGGCGCTTCAACTTCTTCTTGCTGAACACGTCTCGAATGTGGTCGAGCGTATAGCCCAGACTTGGGATGCAGATCTCAAGGTCTGGCAGGATCCGTCCCTGATATCTGCTATAGCGAGGAGATTTGAGTGCTTCGTGAAGTTTGTCAAGAATGTGCGAGATGGCAAAGAGCTTAGCGATATGGCCTTTGATGTCCTTACGGTATTGCGGAATCTCGCTTGAGAAGGTGAGAAGGCCCGAGCCTGTGTCTTCAGCCTCCTTAGCGTAGTCAAGGAGTTGCCAGTCCATCGCGAAAAGCGCGGCGGTCAGTTTTGAGACAAAAGGAACAATATCGAGCGGTGTGTGCACATGGGACTAGTGGAGTGAGCGAGACAATGAAAGAATGACGGATTGCGCAACAGGGCTAAAGGATGGTCCTCCGGTGTAGAAAGAAGCTGCACGTCTCGTCAAGCCGATCTTGACGTGTTGCTGCAGACGCACGCCGCGGTAGGAAAGCCAATCGAAATAAGCCGACAAAAACCCCCTCTCAGATCTGTATGATACCCACAGCCGACCCTTCTCTTTCGCTGAATTTGCGTATTCGATACTTTTGGCCCCCAAATTCGAGTTTTTTAATTGATCCTTCGAAGCAAAGGTTAGGTGGAGAGATGCGTCCTGTCGGGCAAAAGAGACTAATTTAGGGTTGCGGAGATGTCGCTCCGTCTCATTCATGCCGCTCAAGCCACTGCTGTATCTATGATGTTGCTGTTCCGACCTCGTCGAGATCAATGTGTGCACATTCCTTGGACAATAACGAAGCCGCACCTGGGCATGCAGATCGCTAAGGTCTTTGGATGCTGATGGCAGGGCTTCTGCCTGGATGTCTCCACCGCGACGCCGACTAGCCCTGCATTGTCAGCAGCATCAAACACTCTATTGCGCGCAGAAGGGCGCCGGTTCTGGCGACGACATGGCCGCCAGCGATGAGTTTGCACAGCATAGATGGCTGTCATGTGGCTGCAAGTAGGAGATGAAGAATTAATGCACCCCGATAGCTAGGCAACGATGATATCCATGTGCGTATGACTTTGTGCGAACTAGTTGTTCTTTGGATAGAGGAGTCAACTAAGAAACTGAGCAGTTCCCACTCAAGCTCGATAGCAATCAAATATATATATGTTGACTCCAAAGCAGGGCTGCTGCGCCTCACTTCTATATGTCTGCGCCCCCATGTTGGTACGCCCAACCACCCTAAACATCACCACTCAGGCGACGACTTCGACGCCTAATATGGCCGATCTAAGCGATATGGCACACGATTCGTCCAGGTTGCGAACGACGGCTCGGCCCATGTTTCAGATGATGAAAACAGTCCTGTGTCGCCCATGCTCAGATCATGGCGCCTGCGTCCTGAGGCAAAGTGACCTTCACCTTGCTTCGCAGCCCATCGTCTTGGACCTATTTGCCTAATGCTTTGAGCCTTTCGTCGACCAGCTTTGATACCATCTTTTCCAGTATCGCGAATTCACCATTCGCAGAACCTTCAAAATAGCCAGCCACGCTCTTCTCGACATATTTGCCAACCTGGTCCACTTCCACATTGACAGCCTCGCCAGGCTTCTTGCTTGCCGTGACGACTTTCTCTTGGGTGTAAGCAATGAGCATAACCTCCCACCAGCCGTCTGAGCCATCCTGCACTTTCGTGACAGTCAAGCTTGCTCCGTCTATGGTGACGTAACCCTTCTCGACGATGTAGCGAAGGACAGCTGGGTCTCGTGGCTTGAAGCGGAAGGTGAGAGCGTTGCCGTCAGGTGTGACAGACTCGATGGTTGCGATGGTATCGACGTGTCCTTGCACGAAATGCCCGCCCATACGGGTATTGGCAGACACAGCGCGCTCAAGGTTCACCTTGGAGCCCTGCTTGAGGGAGCCAAGATTTGTGCGCCGTAGTGTTTCTGGAGCACATCCTATCTTGAATGAAGTTTTGTTGAATTCGGTAACCGTGAGACATGTTCCTAGGAGCGATCAGCATATTATAAATGATTGGGGCTGGGTGACATACCGTTGACGCTGATACTGTCGCCCAAGTGCGCATCTCCCAAAATGTCCTCGCAGTCGGAGATGGTCAACGACGTGCCGCCGCCTCCGGAGGCTGTCTTGTCGAGCTCCTCGAGGGCAGCAACAGCTAGCCAAGATCAGCCCAGCCGCATAATAATGTTACAGTGGAGCGAAGCTTACTGCCAATCGTTTCAACTAGGCCGGTAAACATGGTGAATTCGTCTTGGTGATGCAGGAACGATGGCGGGGTGAAGCTAGTCGCGAACCTCGGAATTGGAGGAAATCGGAACGGAAGTTGACTGCGGGGAGCCTCGTCTGTAGCACAGTAAGACTGCTTGGAAACTGCATCCACGAGTTCTGAAAATGATGAATGTAATGCTGAGAAGCTCGAGGCGCTGGCTTACAGCTTCAAGGTTTGACTCACAATGCCACTGGCGCATTGCCAGAAGGGGCATAGCGACCACTCCAGCGGCAAGTGGAGATGCAACCAATCTACCGCTGGCTGGCATCAAGGTGCTGGATATGACAAGGGTGTTAGCTGGTGTGAGCGATACTCTTACTGGCGGCATGGCTGTCGCTGACTCTGATAACAGCCGTATTGTACTCAAATACTGGGAGATCTTGGGTACGCGACGAGCAACCCTGTACGGACCAACGTTCGAGGTTGGCAATGTGAAGAAGTTCTGCTGAGTCTTTTTCAGGGCCGACGTGATTAAGATTGAGCATCCGACGAGGGGAGGTAAGTTATGATCCAGTTCCCAATAACATCCCCGTAAGTCTGCTGATGACAATCAGATGATACCCGAGCATGGGGACCACCCTACGCAAAATACACGGACGACAAACAGGGACCTGGCGAAAGTGCTTACTATCTCGGCGTAAGAGTTTTGTGATGAGTGAGGACGCAGACCAAGTTTTCAGACTGACGAAGTGTAGGTCAATAGAAACAAGCGCTCGATTGGGTTGTCTTTCCAGCACCCAGCGGGTGTTGACATCTTACATGGCCTAGTCAAAGAGTGTGATGTACTAGTCGAAAACTACTTGCCCGGATCATTAGCCAAATATGCTATGGACTACAAGACAGTCTGCAAAATCAACCCAAAGATTGTCTATGCGTCGATTACTGGGTATGGACAAACAGGACCGTACAGCAACCGAGCTGGATACGATGTCATGGTCGAAGCGTAAGTTTTGCCACTGCAATGCTCAGTCGGAAGTCTAACGGATCTCAGCGAATTTGGCTTGATGCATATCACGGGGACAAGAGATGGACCACCTGTGAAGGTTGGAGTTGCAGTCACTGATCTTACCACGGGGCTCTACACGTCCAACTCCGTCATGGCAGCTCTTCTGGCTAGAATGAAGACTGGAAGGGGACAGCATATTGATGTTGCTTTGAGCGATTGTCAGGTAGCAACGCTAGCCAATATTGCCAGCTCGTGCCTCATCAGTGGTCAGAAAGACACGGGGAGATGGGGCACTTCGCATCGTGCGTCTAACAATTCGTCTCGACGACACCAACTGACACGTACCAGCTTCAATCGTACCTTACAAGGCCTTCAAGACATCGGATGGCGACATCCTGCTCGGTGGTGGCAACGATCGTCTCTATGGTGTCTTGTGCAATCGGATAGGAAAGCCCGAACTGATCAACGACGAACGATTCAAGACGAACGCGGTCCGAGTGCAGAACAGAGATACTCTAGAGGGCATTATCGAGCGCGAGACGAAGCAAAAGACGACACAGGAATGGCTCGACACCCTGGAGGGCTGCGGCATGCGTATGTTTTCTCCCGACCCGCTGTAGAGCAGGCGAGCTGACTGTGATAGCGTATGCTGCCATCAACGACGTACAGGATACTTTGAACCACGAGCACGGTAGGTCTGCAGCCATATTCTGCCAGAACATGTTACTGATCATGGTAGTCCGCGCACGAGACATGGTCACGGAGGTGGACCACCCAGCATGCGGACCTATCAAGCTGGTCAATACACCTGTGAAGTGGTCCGAGTCGAAGCCAGGTGTTCGCATGCCACCGCCTACACTCGGCCAGCACACGGATGAGATTCTGTCGGACGTGCTTGGGATGGACAGTGCGACCATCGAGGAGCTGCGGGGTGAGGGGGTTATTGCGTGAGGCCGTGATTTTGAAGAATTTCTGTACATGTCCAAGTTCAAATCTGGTAATGGTTAAAAATGTTGAAGATACCAGACCCGGCCAGACTCCAGCGGTGCACAGTGCCACAGACATGGGGAGCAGGAGTCGTGGTGTGTCGCGGCTTCTGCGATTCGCTGGTTTGCATAGCTCGGACCCACAAGCTGGCATGCATTCGCTTGCGGCGAGCTCTCACCATATGATCAGTCGTCACTTGCTCTCCGAAGCTACAACGCGGGCAATTGCAGCATTACTACCGGGCTACTAGCGGTCGCGGAGGCGTGCGTGACAGGATGAGCGAAGCAACGGCCAGAGCCGAGCCGGCAGCGAATGCGGCGGACGACGCTGGCACCGCGGCAGCTCCAAGTCGGCAATCGAATGCGAATGCGCCCGCATGGTCAGCCAATATGTCGACGTTCCCGGCGAACGGTAGCGCGGCAGCAGGTCCCAGTTTCCCCCAGTTCTCTGCATCCACGGCCGCGATACTAGAGCGGCTCCAGGGCAAGCCAGGCGGACATGCCTCGGGGAGTGCAGCATTCGAGGCCAAACGCGCCGAGATTCTGCAGAACTATGTGACCAGCGACAAGCTGCCGACGCCACCACCCATTCCGAGCACCGGGCGCAGGGCAAGAGGCGGGAAAGTGGGCACCCCGACCATGGCGAAGACAGAGGCAGGTGCCTCGCCGGCGGGGGCGGGGGCTCCCTCGCCAGGACGGGGCGCGGGCAGAGGACGTGGGCGAGGGCGAGGGCGTGGGCGAGGGCGCGGACGAGGAGGGCGAGGCGGTCGGGGCGGCAAGCGGAAGCGCTCCGAGACAGACGAGGAGAAGGATGTCAGTGGGTGAAGCGTGACTGGGAAGGCGCCGTCTAACAGACTGCAGGACGACGACGACGACGACGACGACGACGACGACGACAACAACGACGACGACGACGACAACTCGGACGTTTCCGACTCGTACACGCCGCTCCCCACCCACACCAAGTCCGGCCGCAGTGTGAACAAGCCCGTCGCCTTCATCCCGACCCTGCCAGAGCCCTCGCCCGGCATCAAGCGGCGCAAGTCGACCAAGACGCTGCTCGCCGCCAAGTGCAAGACCTGCCACCGAGACGTCGATCCGTCCAACAACCGCATCGTATTTTGTGATGCCTGTAGCACCGCGTACCACCAATACTGCCACACGCCACCCATCGACAACGACGTCGTCACCGTCTTGGAGAAGGAGTGGCTATGCGGGCCATGTAGACGCACCAAGGAGACCGTCGTGTCTGGAGCTGAGCAACTGATTGCAGTCGAGGGACTGTCAGTAGACGACGTAGGTCGAACCTCTTCCAAGACCTTGGACATACTGACACAGGCAGAAACGTGCCTACTTTTCAACACTCTCCCATGACAAAGTGACCAGCCTCCTTCTCATTGCTACAATACGCCATCCAGAACTCCCCATCTTCCCACCAAACATCCGGGATCTGATACCAAACACCACCCCCACGAATACACAGCAGCAACCACCACCACCACCACCACCACCACCTGCTCCTCAACGCTTCCCGCAGCTTCTGTACCAGCCACCATCAGCCTTTCAAAACCCGTCTCTTGTTCCTCCTCCCAACGGCCACACTCCCACAGGCCAAACACCCCACTCCCACAATTTCTCTTCGAATTCGGAACTGGATGCTGCAGAGGCACAGCTACTAGGCGAATCGCGCACAGAGGACCCCCCTTCGAAAACAATCAGCATGGATCTCGCAGGCCACCAGTACGAAGAAGAAGACGACGGCTACGATACTGATCCACCAGCACACTATCCGAAGCCCGGCCACGGTCTTGCGCGAATGCTACGGCCCGAGAGCGAGGATCTCAACTGGCTCGTTGACGACAACTTTGAAGTCTTCAGTCATGGCTGGAAGGGCGACGGGACGGGCCTGGGCGCGGACGGTACGCTGGATGGACAAAAGGTAGCCTAGCATGCTGCTAGGATAAAGGAAGCGACGACCGATCATGACGACGACGAGTTAACGGATATGGAAGACTCCGCTGTGGAAAACTTGGCCAAGGAGATTGCGGCCGAGGAACTCACGTTTGCCGTGAAGCTCAGTGGAGGCTTGCGGGCGTACCTGAGGCAGTCGGATTGATCTGGAAACATCATCTAAGGTCGAATACGAAGCAATATTCAATATTAATCAAAGGCTTCCTTCATACTGAACTGCAACGTGAGAATATCACGCCTATCCAAGAGGTATCAAACTCCGTCAACGCCAGCCCATGCAGTCATTCAGATCCAGACGTCGTTTACTCGTCATCCAGCCCGTATCCCAACGTCTTCTCTGGGTCTTCCCACTTCTTTGTCTTGAGCACTCTCATCTTCTTAACTGGGCTCGCACTCCTACCATGCGCCTCCCTCTCCATAGCCTCCAACTTTGCTTTCAGCACCTCATTCTCGCGCTCTAGCTCATCCACGCGATCCCGTAATTCCGGATCAGGGTCCTCATACACCTTGACCTCATCGCGCATCTGCGCCTTGGTCGCCTTGATAACAATGTCAATCTTGCTGTCAAGATGTGCCTGTTGATTATCCTGCTCATTGTCAAGAACAGCCTGCCACCTCCGGCGCTCCTGGTCAACAGCAGCTTCGAGCTCCTGAAAGCACTCATCGCGGATCTCTTGTTCGAGGTCCGCCATGTGGTTTTCAGCAGCTGCCCACGACGCTTCAGCGGCTCTACGGCGTTGCGTCTCTTCTGTAAGGCGTATCGCGAATATCTCCATTTCTTGCGTCAGACGTGCGATTTCCGTATTCGCGGCGTCGAGTTCTTCGAGCACGGCGGACGAGGGCGTACTGCGGCCTGATGAGTTGGCATAATGTTTGGCAGGCAGGTTGGACAAGATGGTGGATGTTGTCGAGGGGATTCGGGGCACCGTCACTTCGCGCGCGAGAGCCGAGTATCGGAGGATTTGCGAGGTAGCGTTGAAGTCACTCTGAGGATCGGCGGTGACAATCATGATAGACTTCTGGGGGCGTGGATGTGGTTGGTGTGTTTGGCGGGAGGAAGAAGGGGAACGAGTTTGAGAAAAAGGAGCTCAGTGAGCTTGCATTGGCGGAATGGCACAATGTTCTGTCGCGGTGTTAGCATCGGGTTATACATGAGGTGTGGATGAGGTATAGTACCTTGGAACCGTCTTGGTTGTCAGACTGCATCTGCATGCACTGGCCAAGATACATCAAAGACTCGTTGATCTTGCCAGCCTCTGCCAGTGTAGCGCCGGCCGTCTTTGCATTGCGAGCACGTTCAGATCCAGCCAAATCGACAATTGTTAGTGTGCTGCTCGACCAAGGTCCCTTTCGCTCGGCATCGCGTTTCTTGACCTCTACACAAAAGAAGCCGTGGCTTCGCGAACTGACGGCGTTGCTTCCCGTACCAGCAACTTTACGCTCCATGAGACCAGTCTCCAACACCATCATGGCTTCTTCGAAACTGCCACAGATGATCTTAGTGAGACCAGCTACAACTTTCCGCTCCGGGCTCTGTTCTGTGCTCTTGAACAGCAGTGCCCGGCGCTTCACGCTGGGGTGCTTGTTCTTCATGGCCATTCCAGTCAAAAGGTCGAAGATGCGATCGTTGTAGACCTCGTACATGGATATGACAATCGCGTATTCGGCAGTCCTATCGGTAGGTATGATAATATCGGCAACTGTAGGAGTCTGTGGCAGCGTCGACGGCCGGGGGATTTTGTTTGATCGTGTGCCACCGGTGGAGAACATGCTAGTATCCTTTTTGGAAAGTAAGCCTATGTTGCCTGTGGATCGAGTTATGCTCTTAAGTGTCCCGGTTACAGGACAGTGAATCAGTAGGCTTACTGGCATAGGAGTCTGCGCCCGTGAAGGGAATCGCTCAGACTGGTTATCTCCATACATGGAGTCTAGAAAGGCTGTCGCTGTATACATGTGTGCATCCGCGACGTCGGCTGCAGCAAGCGACGAAAATGCCGGTGCACCGTAGAAAGACTGGACAAGCTGCTCTTCACAGCTCTGGAAGAGGACATCGAGGGACATCTGTACAAGACCGCGCTGGGACTTGGTACCGAGGATTGTGTGGCTCTGTGCTATTGTAAGTGTCATGCCCGAACAATACTCTCATGCCCTCTTGTACCTTTCCTGAGCCTGTGACACCCAGTGTCGCCAACAGCCCGTCCCTTCCATGATGACCTGGTACACCCAGCACTCCCTCAATCATGGGAACAATGCCGGTGCTATTAAACAATTCCTTCTGTTGCGCATTCTCCTGGAAAACTCGGGTAAACGCAAATCTTTCAATTGCACGTTTGCGCTTATCCTCTGTTGGCGGCTTGATTGTGATGTGCGTCGGATGTCGGCCTTCGCCCTCTTCGACAGTGAGGAAGCGCGCATTTGCAGAATGCGACGGTCGTAGACGCAGGAAAACGTCAAAAAGCGCACTCGAAGGTCGCGCTGGAGGTTCCATAGCTGTGTCGTAAAACTTGGGAGCAAATGCTGGTTGGGTGATAGTCTGCGTTGGTATCCCGAAAGTGTGGGGAGCAGCTCGCGCGTGCAAGTCAACACATCCCGCGTGTCGTTGTCAGGAGCAACCGCACTGCCCGCGCTACTACACCACACCTCGCTTCTATCCCGCGTATAGGTGCTACATATGTACGGCACAGCTGACCGTGACTCATCATAAGAAAGTATGATCAGTTGTTTTCATGCTGCAGAGAAGGTTCTGCATATCTCGCTAATTACGGTAGAAGCTAGTGTTGTGGTTGTGTTCATGAGACGCTCCTCACCACATAAGACGACACAGCGCCAACCAATGCTGAAAAACAGAGTATAAAGAAAACTTTTGCAGTCGATACAAATATGCATTTTTGACATTGTAGTTGTCTCAATAACGTTCATCTACTTCTCAACTACAAAATCCAGATCCGTATCCTATCGCGAGTATACACTCAGAGCATTGTCATTGATGAGCTGCATGCCCTGTTTCCTATATGTGTCTGGCTCAGCATAGCTCGAAACATTGGCGTCAAAAACATAGTCCATGGGCTGATTCAACGTGTACTTTGGCCACATCTCCTCGGTTCCGTTCCAAGCACCCGACTCCCTCCAAGCATTCGGGTCCAAGTCGTGTACGAAGCTGATCCAGTTGCTGTTCATGAAGTGTGCTAGGTCACGGTAGCTCTGGGTCTTGTTCTCGAACGGTGGTACAGCGGCAGGAATGTAACCAACACCCTGGACGTTGTTGAATACGAAAGCAACTTCTTGGAAGTGAGTTGCTCCGATGGCAGCGGGAATGCCGGCTGGAATGACGTTGAAGCGATAGCAGTATGCGTCCAAACCGTTCGCAGCCCATGTTTCACAGGTCTTTCGGCGAGGAGCAATGAAGGCTACGTCTCCGAAGTAACTGGCTGACCGGCGAAATTGTGCACCGAATGGCGGACCGGGCCGCTGATTGCCTAAGCTGGCGACAACATTGACTGAAAGATCATCTGGGTAAGCTGCTAAGATTGCCTGCGTAAAGTTTGCCGGCAGTCCGCCTTCTTGCGATAATGAGACGAACATCTCGAAGTCTGCAGTCGAGTTTACTGGTGAAGGGCTGAATGCTGTTCCCTCGTCGGAGTTTGCACCGTCTACTATAGGCACGTGGACGAAGTCGCCGGCTGCTAGTTGGATAGACCCACGCTTCTGGACAAAGTCTCCATCAATAATTGGCATGAAATTGGTGACGTTGAGTGTTGCACTGGTCGTATTGATGGCGGTGTTGAGCTGCTCTGCAGGCAGTGCCCTCAAGCATTCGAGTGGGCTTGTTTGGTTTGCGCAGTTCGTTCGTCGTGTAAGTTCATTATACATATCCGCATTGCCGAGAGGATCCAATTGTGGGCCGAAATTGATGGGGCCGCCTATTCATCAAAGTCAGTGTATGTCCCACACATAATGCTCACATGAGCAACTTGCCTGATTGCATGATGGCTGCGCGGAAGAGCTTGTCGTCACGACCGTTGTACGCAGTAAGATGGTAGCCCACAGACGCGGCTCCGGCGCTCTCGCCGTAGATGGTGACTTGCGATGGATCTCCACCGAACGCTGCAATGTTTTCCTGCACCCATTGCAGAGCAAGCCTCTGATCGCGCAGACCAAGGTTCAAAGCACCGGTGTCCTTGAGTTCTTCGCTTCCGCTAAGGAAACCCCAAGCACTCAAGCGGTAGTTGATGTTGACAGTGACAATCGGCTTGCCGATCTTGACGGCGTTCTGAATCATGAAGGATGTGTTGTACCTCTGATCAACACCACCGCCTTGATTAAATCCGCCGCCGTGAATCCAAAACGCTACGGGGAGGGATGCATTCTCGTAGCCGGAAGGGCGGACAATGTTGAGGTAGAGACAGTCCTCCGAAACGGGATAGTTCCACTGGTCCGATCCGTAGCCATAACACTTGAAGCATGTTAGCTATAGTACTATGTTTTGTCATCACATCACATACTTCGGCAGAGTTCTGGGTCGCCGGTTTCGCGTCATGCCAGCTTTGGTTCAAGCTGTGCTGGCGCTCGGTAACGTAGGCTTCCAACGGGTGGCTGAGCATAAGGGATACCAAGGAAGAAGTCCTGGTCGTACGCATCAGAATGAACTCCGAGAAGAGTTCCATTCTTGACTCGAGCTGTAGGACCAGTGGCCGGGTATTGGCAGCTCGCCAAGCCAGCAGAAAGGGAAAGAGTCAACGCAGCGGTGCGCAACATAATGGGCAGTGAAGAGATATTGCCTTGTCCAAAACAAAACCGCCTCGTTCACAAGCGCACTATATAGTCGTCTTGACGGTCCACAAGCATGACTCGCATTCTATTTAGACACCCAGGATGCTGCTCTCTGAACATGACTTCATGACGGCAGAGCGACTAGTTGCGCACATAGCCGTACTAGCTTTCAAGCTTTTGGCGGGGATTCGCATCCCCGGATGCTTGGTTGGCAAAACTTCGGTGTTCGGGAGAGGCGTGAAAAGGGCTAGTCGAGCGGCTAGCCTTCGGTGAAACATATTACACTGCCTACCTAGGTAGGTAGCTCGCGGAGCATATTTTACATTGTGGGGTACATAGCCTGGGGTAACCGGCAGTTATGGGCGGTATGTTAGGTTCAGCCGGGTAGAGAGGAAAAATCAGATGCAAATGGTGCCGAGGGAAGCATCGTTCCGACGTCTTCCAAGGCTGTCAACGTCCATCGATCGGCCAACAACAACGGCCCTGGAGGCGAGTCGTGTGAGTGACCATCAACATTCTACCACCGTGAAACATAGTTGAGGTCAGGATGACCTCTCTGATGCAAGGCGGCAATCGAAACTGTCACGACTATTACACAAGACATATGAGCTGGTGAAGAACGCTTAAGCTGTCGTGCTTGCTGCCATTCTCGCATCGCGGCGCTGCTGGTAGTCGTTGATCCACAAGTCCGCTAGGTTGGTAACGTTCGGGAATTAGCCAACAAATTGGGGGGTGGCAACGTGGACCACTAGGGACAGGGGTGCTTGAACATCCAGACAACACCCAAGCTCCACTGTAGGAGATGTTGTCAAGCGGGGAAAATGACTCGGATCCCTGTCGCTTCAGGCGCGCCTGACTACGTAGTTAGAAGCAAGACCTGACGAGGAGTCTTGCCGAAGATGCCTTCACGTTTGCTTTTTTCTGTCACGTGCACACTCAGATCGCCCATGAGATCCGCGGTTGAAATGTGTGCCGTCTTGTGGAGCGGTTTGAGAAAAGGCCAGGGATCTTTGTGTGCCAGAACGAAACGAAATCCATATGTATCAAGCTTCGTGGGGCTTCCATATCGTCCAGGATGTCTGCTTTTGGCATGTTGGGCGGTGTCATCGACGGTACGGCATTCAGTGGTGCCTCAGCCTTGCGAACGTTCAGCCAGCCAATGACGTCACACAAGCGCTTCCAGGTATCGCACAATCCTTGAAGGCATCTAGTAACCCACGAAGGGCCCATAACGACACATGCTGAGACCTCTGACAGGGTAAAAGACTCAAGTGCGGATGCTTATGCTCGTTTGACATAACCTTGAAATGTGGAGGATCACGATCGATCTTTTGATCGACGCATGGATTAGCGACATGCCATACCGCGTACATGGGAAACATGAAGCATGTATCTGAGACATTCTGCATACCCAGCCGCACTATCTTTTATCAACGCCACAATCAGTTTGGAGAGTGGCTGTATCCTGATGGATTCTATGATGGACGCGCATTCCTTCTGCAACTGTGATGGTGTGGCTTGCCGTCATCGCCTCCAGTCCAGTCTAGTGCAAGTGACGTAACGGCAGATAGCCTAACCGTTCAGCCAGGCCTTGCTGAGCAACAACCAAAGCCCAGAGAACTCACCCACCCTCTCGGTCGCCTATTTCACAATCATCCTCGCAGACGATCCTGCCATCTACCATGGGCACTCAAGGACTAGTCTTCAAAGACATGGGACAGGATCCTCTGGACCTACTTCCCGTACCGGAGACAAATCCGACTGCTCACGAAGGCACGACAACTACGCTACTCGATGCGCCTACGGAAAGCCATGCGTTAGCTTTGGAAGCAGCAAAGGCAGCTGATCCGACCGAGGCGGGAGTTGCACAAATTCCGCACGATGAAGAAGTCGTAGATCTTGGTTGGAACGAACCAAAGGAACATGTCGCCAGGCCTCTTGTTGGCGGTCTGTCAAACGAGGATCTATGGCTACTCGTTCGTCGGTTCAACAAGGTGCGACTATTATCCCGACTCGAAGGTCCTGAACTAATCACTTCCAGCAAATGTATCATGTAAAGGAAATTACCACAGCTGCCCCCGGAGGCTTGGACTTGAACATCGCAGACGAGGAGGAATTCTCACCTGACAAGCTACGTGCCAATATCGAGCGCCTTTACATGACTATTGTAAGTCTCGTGGCTCAGCATTCTATTGACCTCTATTCATACCATACTAGGGAATAGGCATGATGTCGTTCGGCAAACACATTGTTCGATTACGATCGTGGCGAGAGACTCGCAGAACCGCATGGTTCTGCACTGCCTATTTTCTTGCCTGGATTCTGAATCTGATCATGCCTCTGATTTCCATCACTTTGATCACACTCATCGTCTACCCACCAGCACGCGAAATCATGTTCCCACCTGCTCCTCTCGCTCTCGTCAGCTCTAAGGGAGGTGTACAGAAGCCCAGGGCAGGAGTGCTTGGAAGCACCGACAGTGCCACTGGTGCTGCTGAGAATCACAAAGGAGAAGCCGTTGAGCAAGAAGCGTCGAACTTCGTCAATGGTATTGCTTCGGTGGCCCTGTCAAGTGCTACAGGCAAGCATCCACAGGGCGAACCGCCGGAAGGTGACGCACATGAAAAACTTGTTCCAGACCCCACGCGAATAGCCATTGGTGCAGCAGATGCGAAGGACATCACCGCGGGTGTGGTACCGTCTAAGCATCACGACAAGACCAAGGTTCCCATGGAGACTGCAATGTGGACGAAGATGCGCCCTGTTATGCATGGGCTCGCAGACGTAACAGATACTTGGGAACGCTTCGCCAAGTAAGATTCATATCCACACTCCAAAATCGGAAACTGACACAAATTTAGCATGTTAGAACCTACGCCTCCGTTTCCCAAAAACAGGTATCACTATCGTCTCGCGGCCGTTGTCGCCCCACTCTTACTAATATCACTCTTCATTACCTCCTCCATGTTCATGAAGGGCCTTACTTTCGGGGTTGGCTTTGGATTCTTCGGTGATCCGATCATCACACGCGGTATTGACCTCTTGAACCGTAAGGTTCCCAACTGGCAGAAGCTTCTTGAGCTCCGCAACACGCTACTGAAAGGAGTGCCAACCAACGCTCAACTCGCCATCACCCTACTACGAGTCGGCGAGGCTAACAAGGCTCCTTTACCGCCACCACCACATGTTGATCACCCACCAGAGGACAAGCCCGTGGATGTAAACGACCAAGAGCTGCGCGCTACGGGTGCTGATTGGCCCCTAAATGCTACTCAAGAAGAGCTCGATGAAGCCATGGCGCATGATCCCCTCACCGCGCACGAAACAGGAGGCGAAGACATTGACAACGCCAAGGACTCGAACCGCGGCGGCAAGAAGAGCAATAAGATCGTCAACTTCTTCCGTGGAACAACCAAGGGAGGCGTCAAGACAGCAATTGGTGCAGACAAGGTCAAGGCCGCCGTGGGCTCTCAACACGCAAAGAACCGCCTGGGCGCCGTGCCGCATAAAGGTGCCGACATGACCTCAGGCCCTATCGAATTCAAATCCAGACACGATGGCAAGAAGGGTCATTTGTACATTACTACCAAGGCCACGATTCCGTGCATCGCCTTCTCGACCGACAACACCATTGAAAGGATCGGCACTGCTGACCGTGAGGATTTGCATCCGCTTTGGTCTATCCCTGTAGGCGACATCAAGGAGATGCGAAAAGTGGGAGGGTATGGATGGAAAGCCAAATTAGTCGTGGGTTGGGCAATGGGACGTGAAGTCGCGGACGGCATTGTAATCACAGACCGCAAGGGTGTCGACACGAGATTGACAGCCATGCCGTTGCGGGACGAGCTTTTTAATCGTCTTATTGCCATGGGTGGCCAGAAGTGGGAGTGTTGGTAAAAGCTGGATGTCTTCAATGTCGTGTGCGAAACCAGGGCGCAAGGCCTTGGGGGATGCTGGAACGACTCAATGCATTTGGCCCACGTAATAGGACGGATGACGCATGCTCTGAGAAGAGCTCAAGATTGTGGGAAGGCTATTTCTTCAGCGTCGGGACTGCACACCGAGTATACCTATGGCTTGTAACCAGCCTTAATAAGCACGCCCCTTGCAAGCTAATAATAAATACATGCTTATATTACACATCTTACTTTATAAGAGGAAAGTGTTTGTATTGCAATATCGCACATTTATGATTCTGTAAAAACATATTATTGCACCGGGGGTGCATACATGTCATGTTGTGATGTCTCAGCACCACCTGCATTACTCATCTGGGAGCATCTCGAAAAACCATTCCACCTTGACCCACCAGGTATAGCATGACGAAGGCATCCTCGCAGCGATGTCGTCTCATCCATCACCGCCCTAGAGTATCTCGTAGCCATCTACTCCTCTTCATCCATGACCACGTCCTCGTTGGCGGAGTCGGCAGCGATGGCACCGGCACGGAACGACTTGTACACCTGAGCAGCAGCATACGCCAAGTCGTACCTCAGCTGGAACTTGCTGCCACCAACGTTCAAGCCCTTGGTACGGCACATTTTCTGCAAGTCGGCAAGTGACCACTCCTCATCGGCATCGCGCAGCTCACCAAGCATTTCGTCCTTGTCTTTGCCCTTGGTAACGAAGCCTCGATCGGCGCACATCTTGGAGAGGTCCTGAACGGAGAGATAGCTGCGCGGATCTGGAGTATCCGTAGTGACCTTGGAAGTAGTGAGAGTTAAGGTATCGTTCAGGCTCGGCGCCTGCTTTGTGGTGGAAGCGGCCTTGCCCCTACCCTTTGCCTTGGAGATGGTCTTGTCTAGAGCAGCTTTCTGCTTCTGGATCTGCGCATTGCGCTTGGTCTTTGCGGCGGCGTTCTCGCCTGCACGCTGGAGCCTGACCTGTGCTGCAGTCGCGCGCTTCAGGGCACGTTCGGCTTTCTCGGACTCTTTCTGCTGGCGCCTGTGTGCAACTTCTTCGGCCTTCTGGGCGTTTAAGATACGGGCCTTATCTTTGGCCATGCGCTCTTTGACCTCATGAGCCTGCTTCTCATTCTTCTCCTTCATGCGAGCCTCTTCACGGGCCACACGATACTTCTCCAGCTCGTAGCGACGGGTGTCTGGATCATCATCCATCTCGGTTGGGATCTGCGCTGTACCGTTGACAATCGCGTCGTATCGCTCGCGACAGGCGTTGGCAGAGAACAGCGCCTCCTTGTTAAGGCGACGCATATACTCGGATACCTTGCGGAAGCGCCAGGCACGAATACGCTCGACCTCGTAGTTGACTTCGATGTCGGCCAGGGCAAAAGCCTGCATGAGGAGACAGTCCTATAGCAGTGTTAGACGAAGATGCAAGGTTATGCTTGCTGCACAAGCACTTACATCATCGAACTCCCATTCCTTCATCCCATCCTTGAGAAGGGTGTCGACATTTCCAGCCTGGGCCAAGCGAATACGCATAATACGCGTAGAGATGGACTTCTGGTCGTAGCGAACACGACCATCCTTTGCCAGCTTGTCAGAAATCTGGCGGTCGCTGAATCCCTTCTCACGCATCTCCATCATGAGTTCATCGTCCGAGTCCAACTCATGAGACACGCGCTTATGATACGCCGGTAGGGTCTCACCCTTTTTGCGGTTCACGCGACCAAAGGTACCAGGGACACGAGAAGAGGGCTTGGTGGTAAGCACATCGTCTTCCTCTAGGAAGAAGGCCTCAGCATTGTCGGCCTGTGTGCGCATAGCTGAGCGCTGAACGGAGGCTGTGGTGGCGGCATTGAAAGCAAACTTGACACGCTTGCACTTATTACCAGTGACGTTGTCGTTGTACTCGGGATCGTACCCTTTGCCCTTTCCATCATCATCATCATCATCTTCTTCTTCTCCGGCGGTGGCGGCGGCTTCATCAACGGCGTCGAAGTCATCAGGGCCATCCAGCTTGAATTCGTCATCCTCGGGCTGGCGTTTTTAGTTCTTGTATACTTCAATTTTGATTCACTTACGTCTTCTGGGACCTCGATGTAGTCGAAGAGCTCATCCTCGTCGTCGCCATTGCCCGAGATCTCCACATCGGCCATGTCGTCACCAATGTTGATCTCGTCAATGGGCTCACCGCCTGTAGCCTTGTGAGTAAACCGCGCACTCAAAGATGACGTGGAAACACTTACCGTCGAAAATGAAAGTGTCGTCGGTCATTGTGGTGGATCCGTTGTAGTTCCTGGCTGTTGTTGGGATTGAGGACTTGTAGTAGTCCAAGGTTGGTGTTTGGTTGCTGTGTCTAGTAATTACAAGTACTTGAAGTACCCAGCGAGTTGTTCTAATTGTTCGTGTTGCGGGGTGGGTCAGCGGGATGTAGTAGCCGAAGGTGAGAGTGGAGGGCAAATTCTCGCCGTCAAAGCACTTGTCGGCTCCCAACGCACTATGATCCGTTATTGGATGGCGTATAGAGTTAAGTAAAGACGACTGGAAGAGAGCAGTGGCAGTAGAAAGGAATCAGGAGGATGGTATTCAGAAAGCGATCAAGGTGACGGGGTGGTTTACATGTACTTTGTTGAGTGCGGTACTTAATCAGACAGCAGCAGAGACGTTGTCTACATGGCACAGGATTGCGAACTCAGAGTGAGATAGAAGAGAAGTACCAAAGCGAAGCCTGTAAAGCCAGGGAACGCAGCGAACCAACATTCGCTGTTTCCGCCTTTGGCTTTGCTGCTCGCCGCCGCCGCCGCCATGAACACATTGTTGTCATTGCCGGTTTAAGATGAACAGACTTCAAGGTGAGAGCCGCCAATCCTGAATTACAATGCCAAAGCCTGCAGAGCATATATCTGCCAGACAGAAAATGTAAGCCTATGTCGATATAAGGAACAGCAACTTTGTGTGGACTGAAATGTTTGCAAACTCTATGAGAAGCGAGACTGGAAATATGTAGCTCCATGGCAGACAGATGCAACTCACTATCAGAGTTCTCTACTCCACGAGATTCTTTTTTCAAGGACCTTGAATTCTACGTGTTTATATTCGAGTAGTAGCATGGACACGTCCGCATCATCCGTCTCGACGCGCGTGGGCTTCAGTTCGTTAGGGATCCCATGCTTTTGTGTCAGGTGCGGTATCGACACAGGTGACTATTGCGTTACGATCGATGTGTGTTTTGGTGATGGAGACGAGGTGGCGGAGGCTGACACGTGCTAGCGCTTGATGTGGCGCTGGGTTCTAGATGAGCATCCCTGCCCATGACGCAGTATTCCTTGGACAGCAGAGACGTCCGCAATCAGGGCTTCTGGCAGCGCCACAACGACAAGCTCAATTTCCTCTTACATGTGAGATCGCCCCTCTTGCCAGTACAACCCTCCTGTCGCCTCATAGACGTCGGCATATCTGAAACCTTACTTCACAACCCCCCGCGTCACAGCCGACCCTTAGCCGCGTAGACGCAGCAATACCAGAGATGTCGTCGTACCTGCAGAAGCTGAAAAGGCAGTCCAAGCAATTCATGCCACAGAGTGAAGGAAAGAAGGCAGACACTGCTCAAGTTCAAGAAGCCACCAAAGCCCCGGAGCCACCAAAGATTCAAGAACCCGCGACCACAACTGCCGGACCCAGTGGACCCGTGCCGACGGCGCCTACGCCAACCGTGGCAGAACCCGCCGACCACACCGAAGCAGAGCCCGTATTGGATGAGGAGGACCAGGTCTTCCTAGAGCGCCTCGCAGCTATCGCATCAGAGCCTGAAGGAGAGGCTCCTCCTCTGCCCACAAGGCCAGTGGAGGTGACCGAAGCTCAAGAGAAGAAGATGATGGGAAGAGACCCGCAAGTGGCGCTTCTCGACGGCGCCGAAAAGCTGCCGCTGCCCACGAGTCCTCCAGAGGTTCCAGCAGAGAGCGGTGAGAAGGGCAAGGAGAAGGCAAAGGGTGGGCTGGACAGGAAGAAGAGCGTCATGTCATATTTCTCGCTCGACAGGTTCAAGAAGGGAGAGGACAAGGTCGGCAAGGACAAGACCGAGAAACTGAATGCAAAGGACAGATCAAAAATGGCGGATGACTTGCAATCTGCTGCTGAAGCCGCCAAAGCCGATGAGCAGGAGGAGCAGAGGAGGGAAAACAAGGAGCTCACCGACGTCCTCGACCAGCTGAACCTTTCAGCCGTGAACAACCGTGTCTTCTCTTTCACCAAAGAATCTGAAGAGTTGCTCAACAAGTTTACCCAAGTGCTCAAGGATATCATCAACGGCGCACCCACAGCATACAACGATCTCGAGAAGCTGTTCACCGATTACGACGCGCAATTAAAGAAAATGTACGGCGGCTTGCCTCCGTTCCTGCAAAACATGGTCAAGAGCTTGCCTGCCAAATTGACCGCCACACTAGGTCCGGAGCTGCTAGCTGCTGGGGCCGAGAAACCTGGCTTCGATGCAAAGACTGCTGGAGCAGGGACCAAGAGCAAGAAGTCGAAGATCCCTGGTCTTCCGACTATCCCGAGCTTAAAGAGTCTGGTGACGGCCCAAGGCGCTGTCGCGACTGCGCTGAGGAGTATCGTCAACTTCCTCAAGTTCCGCTTTCCCATGTTGGCGACAGGAACGAATCTCATCATGAGTTTGGCTGTGTTCCGTAAGTACAAATACCATTGCTTCAGAAGAAATGTACTCATGATCCACCGCAGTCTTGCTCTTCGTGTTCTGGTACTGCCACAAGCGTGGTCGCGAGACCCGTCTCGAAAAAGAACGCCTTGCTGCTGACGAAGGCGAATCTGCCCGCGCAAGCAGTGCCTCTTCTATTAATGAGGATGCAGACTCCATCTTTGGAGAAAAGCCAAAGCGCAAGCCTGTTGCATCTAGTGTGGCGACTGAGCAGCCCACTGAGCCCTTGATCATCCAGGATAGCAATCAGAAGCGCGATGACGCAGCTGCCGCTGTCGCTGATATGCCAAGTGTAAGCCATCTGCCTGGTCCACAGGGCGGAAAAGCTCCTGGGCCAGCATAGGGGCAGTGAAAGAGAACATGGCAGTAATGAGCAACGTTTTGTTGTTTGGTCTTAGATTGACATCCCCTTTTACGTATACCCCGCGACGGATGAGTAATGAAATAATGAGCTGGAAAAAGATGGACTGATACACTACTCCTAAACGTCCCTGTGATATCTATCGAGTAGCTCAAAATGATAGTTACAAATGCTCTTTATTCACCAAGGAAATACGCAACCTCAGACTGACTAACACTTGGATCGCTTATCACATAGAACTGGTCTATCACGTTTTTACTCTCTAGACGTGACGTCTACCCACATATTCCTGATCTCAAAAAGGCCGAGGCTGTTATGTGTCTCCCATGGTTTCGTCGGATCGGTCAACGCAAAATCAAAATGTCGAAAGAGCTCAAACACAGCTTTGTGAACCTCAATCAACGCAATGTTCCTGCCGAGACACACCCACCTCCCGTAACCAAAGACCATGTCATTGGTCTTGGTCATCTTGGTGAGCTTGTCGGCATCTTCAACGAGCCAGCGTTCTGGACGAAAGATGTAGGCGTCAGGTCCGTAAAGGGAAGTGTTGTTACGATGCATAGACCATGCCGAGTATCCGATGAGAGTGCCGCCTGGGATATGATATTCTTTCCCCGAAATCGTGACAACATCGCCTGACGCGGGTGTAATCCGAGAGAAGAGGTTGACGACTGGTGGGTGGACACGCATACCCTCACGCACGATGGCCCCGAGATATGGTAGTTTGCGTGCCTCTGCGTCTGAGACGACACCCGACTCCGGCGCCACACCCGACTTGACGGCCTCATCGATCTCAAGTTGTAATTTCCGGTAGACACGCGGGTGAGTAATGATGTATAACATGATGATTCGAATCGCGGCTGCTGTTGTGTCTGAGCCAGCAATGATCTGTTCGAAAGCTTCTTGGAAGAGGTCATCGCCAGAGACACCATTGCGAATGAACGATGCAAGCATATCTGACTTGGCCTCTGTGGACTTGAGTCTACGCGCATCGACAATTTTGCGCGCCTCCGCCATCATCTTGCCAAAGCCAGTTTGGTCTTGCTCAGAAGGGCTGATGGCTCGGCCAATAATTACTGCGTTGCGAAGCCAGCCAAATCCCATTGCAAACGCGGTGTTGCCGATCTTCAGTCCTTCTTCTGAGGCTTTCAGGTAATCCATTTGGTCGTTGTCAGCGAGCAGATCTCCAAAGGATTCGCCCAGGCCGACATGGCTAATTACGTCCAGAGTAAAGTATGGAATCTTCTTAGCTAAGTCCATGGACTTCGATGGTTTATTCGAAGCTTGAGATGCTGCATATTTGCCCACAAGATCTACCAGCTCTTTTACGTGGGTGTCAATGGATGGCTCCAGTGTGGGATTCTCTTTGCCCGAGTACTGTGAGGTGTTACTATCAGGCTTAAGAACAAGTATGGTTAGAACTCACTCCGGCAGCCATTTTCTTCCGGCGTGCATCATGGCAATCGTTATCACAATCCGTAAAAACATTATCTTTGCCAGGCTCGAATCGTGCAGCATGATAATACCATGGAGATCTCTGATATGGTGATCTTACTGCGTTGATCTTTGCCCAGAACTCGGCGTCACTTGTGATAAGGTGGTTCGGAGCCACTCGTGCGATCGGTCCTACGCGCTGTCAGAACTGGGGACTGCAACACTAAGAACCTATGTTTAACTCGTTAAGCATACCATATTTCTCCGTTACGTGCCCATAGAACTCGTGAGACCTAGAGATTGGCGTACGAAGTCAGTGCATGTCTCACATACAATGCGTGTATTGAGGTCTGCTTACCTTCCAGAAAGGACAGCTCTGGAGTGCCACCACCAGGATATTCCTGTCGTAGCTGGACCACTAAAATGCCTCAAGCGCCAGTACTCCTCTAGGCGACCCAGCACGTGGTAAGCCAATATCAGCAGAGTGATTGGAGGCAGGAGTCGAAGGACAATGCCCACGACCGTCTCGTCGGGCGACTCGGAAGCCATGATGTTGGAAGGGATTGCTATTTCAGGCAGCTGGACTACACCTGGGCAACGGGCTGATGAGTCGGTGCCAAGAACCCGCGAGCGACATAAAAGGTAAATGTTTTGTCACCAGCAAGGAAGTGTTAGCGGGGTAACCCATGGGCATCTAGAAAAATAGCGGAGGTGGCACGGTTCGCTCAAGCACTCTTTTACGAAGAGGGCGTCATCTCCGAACTTGCATGTCGCTGCAGCCATTTAGACCCGGTGTGCGGGACATCGCGAAGCTTGCGGGGCTGTTCCCGAATCAGGATTCACAAGTCCTATCCATGGCTGGATTTTTTTCCAACCAAGACGCAAGCGTCGACGCAGAACCTGACCCAAAGCTGTCCATTAATTTGAACGGATTCGAAGGCATGGAACTCCTCGCAGTTGCGCAGACTTGTAGTCAATCTGATCGAATTCCTGCGGCTACAGACGTCGAAATCAGTACCCTGAACGTAATTACACCAGCACCGGGAATGCATTTGTCGAACGCTTGATCCGCTATACTTGATTGAGCTACGTACCGCACCTTACCAGCTCCAGTGGGACGCTTCGTAGCCACAACTGTAGCAGTAGCACAACGGCCCGATACAATTGAGTGAAAAGTTACTTTATGACAAGATTTGTGTTATCTCTGCCGTCCTGTAAATAAATTTCTACTCTTATATTTTTGTTGGCTGCAAAGCTGGAAATCGTATGGATGCCAATCGTGTTTCGTCCCACCGGAGGTAAAAAGGTGCGGTATTCCTGCAAGCCCGACCTAGTTGACAACCGCGTTGCTACCCACCGAAGCACGTACCCATATGCAGGTGGTTCCGTCAGCCCAGAACCCTAATTGACCAGAGTCTCTGCAGGGTCCACAACTAGTCCTCGCTCCCAATTCCAGGCGTGGGGTTTGACTCTCGATTGTTACTCACAATCCTAACTATTACGCGTATAAGGCCGCAGTAGAGCGACATAGCACTTGTTTATAGGGTGAAGCTTGAAGCAAATAGCAGCAATTATGTCAGACGCAGGGAAGGCAGGCGAACCATCATTTCCGATGGCTCCGGCTACTCTCGGGCCGTCAACGAGGGCTACCGAAAACTTTCCTGCTACTACGTCGCCAGGACGAGTCTCGGAGGGGGAAGTTACAGGCAATTCATTGTCGACAGAATCAGCAGGGCTTACAGAGGGACCCTCGGCGACCGCGCATCAAGCCAATCCTGTCATTGCAGCCCAGGTACGTACAGATGCGGTACCATCGTTCTTTCATATTCGAAGATGCGTATCTACATGCACACATACATTCCAAGCGTCCAGTATTCATTCTGAATTGTGTTAGGACGATACCAGAACAGAGGAATCCGATTCGGCATATGGGGATGACGACCACCTTAGCGACACAACATCAATCCCGTCGACGATCTGGAGGCATCGCTATGAGAACGGGCGTAGATACCACAAGCTGCGGGAGGGCGAATACTGGGGACCCAACGACGAGGTGCAAAATGATCAACTTGATATCGCGCATCACATGTTCTTGATACTTCTAGGCCAGAAGCTGCACCTAGCACCCATAAAAGACCCTAAGCGGATCATTGACCTTGGATGCGGTACGGGCATCTGGTGTATGGACATGGCAGACGAGCATCCTGGGGCAGAGTTGATTGGCGTCGACCTATCTCCCATCCAACCTAGCTTTTCACCTCCCAACTGCAAGTTCGAGCTAGACGACGTGACTTCACCGTGGACCTATCCGACTTCGCACTTTGACTTTGTCAACATTCGAGGCCTGTATGGTAGCATAGCGGACTGGCCTGCGTTGTATGCTCAAGTGTACCGACACATGCAGCCGGGCGGCTATCTTCATCAGCTCGAGATGAGCATTCAGTTCAAGTCGGACGACGGTACTCTTGCGCCCGACCATGTGCTTTCGCAATGGTCAGACGTGTTCCATGAAGCGAGCAAAAAGTTTGGCAAGTCGTTCTATGAGGTTTGGAACCTGTCGACATACCTGCGAAACCAAGGGTTCCAGAATGTGGAAGAGAGAGTTTATAAAGTCCCGGTGAATGGGTGGCCTGCGGATGCTCATATGAAGGAACTCGGGAGGTGGAACTTGTTGCACATAACGCAAGGGGCGGAAGGCTGGGGTCTTTTCCTACTGACCAATGTGATGGGATGGAGTATCGAAGAGGCGCAGGTGTTCATCGCAAAGTTCAAGAACGGCGTGAAGGAAAGAAAAGTGCATGCGTACTTTGAGGTAGTGGTGATGCATGGCCAGAAGCCATGGGCATGATGTATCAGTAGGAACACAGGCAAATGGTTTGCATGTACACGTGCATGCAAGATCGAGTAAGGTTCTGGTGTGATGTCGGGTGAGAGGTCTCGCTTATCAGATGGCGCTACGGCGCTGTGGCTAGGGCGCTCGGGCGCTCGGGCGCTCGGGCGCTATGGCTTGACACGGGTGACGGGCAAAAGACGTCGGGAGGCTCCCCGCTGCACGCTTCATGGCAGCGACATTCCGATCTCGTGCTCCCAATGCTACCCAACAACAACAACAACAAGTCGCCGTATACAATGGCATAGCGGTTCCCAACGCAAAATACGCGTCCTTCCCGATCGCGCTCCACCATGACGACTCGGGCTACGATGCGGCCGACTACGAGTCTCAGGGACAGGGCACGCAGCAGCTGCAAAGCGGGGCAGCTTCAGAGCAGTTCGACATGACGCCTCCCCAGGCGTCCACGCACGCTTCCTGGCAGGCGCTGCACGACTATGCGCAGTCGCATGCCTCGGAGCACGGCTACGCGCTCTCCATCAACACCACGGCCAAGAACCGCTCGCGCATCAAGCTTGCCTGCGTCTGCTACGGACAGCCCAAGAACACACACAAGCTGACGGCCGAGACGCGCATCCGCAAGAACAGGGTCAGCTACAAGACGGGCTGCAAGATGTGGGTTGAAGGCAAGAAGCAGGAGGACGGCACCTGGCTGCTGCGCGTGGGCGAGCCCCGCCACAACCACGCGGGCCGCCCGAGTGAAGGCTGGGCGCTGCAGCGGAAGAGGACCTGGGGGGTGGTTGGAGGGCGAATTGGCGTTGGCGGTGTCACGGCAAAGGAGGAGCTGGCCAAGATGCACGCCGGCCCCGCCGACAAGGACGACGACGAGGGCGAAGAGGCCCAGGGCGCCTCCCAGAAGCCAAGCCACAGCCTCGAGCGTGGTGGCCTGGTATGGAAGATTGTCGAGCAGGAAATGCTTCGCAAGAGCGAGCCGAGCCAGGGTAGAGACCGAGGTGTAGGGCGCACCGTCGACGTGCTCCACGCTCGGTTGCCCGGCATACACATCTTCAAGCGCGACGTCTACAACATACGTGCCCAGATCAAGCGGGCCAGGAAAGCAGCAGGGCAGCAGCTTGGAGACGGCGTCAACACCGAGGACGACGACGCAGAAGAGGCACAAGAGGCAGAAGCCCGGGAAGACACACAGGAAGACAGCGAACACGTCTCTCCCAAGCCACCCATACTGCCTCGTCCCAGCCATCAAGTCCGAACTGCGCCGCAGCAGCCTGTGCATTCGTGCGACTTTGCTTTCGATCCCTCTTTACCTCGCACCGCCAGCTCCCTGAACAGCTCCACCCCCTCATACCACGTCCTCTCCACGTCTCATGCCGAGCTCGAACAGCTACGAAAAGAGAATGCGCAACTCAAAGGCATGTTGACCGAGAAGACGAAGGAGGTCAAGGAGAAGAACATTGTCATTGCCGGCTTGCGATCGCAGCTCGACTATATGACGAGCATGGCCATGCTACCGAGCTAGTCATTGTGCATACGAAGCACACAATCTTGAGATACCCCTTGCACATTGGTGCTATACGTCTATATATTCAAGTATGATATCAGCTACTTTCTTCCCGCACTCAGCCACACTGCTACTGCAAGTTTACCCTAGTGCCGTTGCTGGGCAACTTGACTCTGAACAAAGCAAAAGGCCTCTGTCTCCTGTCCGTGCCAGGGTAGAAGGCCTTGCTGAATGCAAGCTGATTATCCGTGAAATAGAGATGACCGTCACTTGCGATAGACACTGCATTTCCGTGAGTTCCTGCACATTATCTTCGAAAAGAAGATAGACTTACTAGTATCAACCCAACTAATTCTAGGGTCCCTCGTGAACAGAGACATGGTTCCATTCGCTGGATTGTAAAATCCAATCTCATTCTGCTCCATGTTGCCTGCGTAAATGAGGCCGTTGGTGTCTGTCTCGAAGCCATCGCTGACGCCGCGCTGACCACGGTTCTTGACAGCTGCTTGTGCCAAAAGCTCAGAAGACTGGCTGCGATCACGCAGTCTCGCAGTAGAGACGCTGTACAGTCCACGTCCACCGACTGGCCCAAAGTACAAGTCCTCCCCATCAGCAGACAATGCGATGCCATCGCTTCCCAACGGCACTGTAGTCAACGGCTGGTCTGGCCCTGGAATGTAATACAATGGCTGGCCCCAAACATATGGTACGAACCCTCGCTCGGCACTCACTTCGGGGATGTTGTCAAGATGGCGCCAACTCTCACCCGTTCCCAAGTCAACCATGACAATCCCATTTCGTCCCTCGCTACTCGAGTCGGTGATGTACGCAACTCCCTGACCCGACGCAGACATGGAGGGGCGCAAGTCGAAGCGTACGTCATTCAAGTAACTGTCGCCGAACGCAACGTTGCTTGGAAACACAATCGTCTTGATGACGCTGCCGTCTTCAATGTTGACGCCTACTAGTTTTGGTCCGCCGTACGAGGCGAGAACGAGGGTACCGTCTTCGAGTTGTGCGCGCCCCGTGTCAAGGATCCAGAGTCGATCTTTTGAATCCAGGACCACACTCTGTACGCCGATGAGGTAATTATGATAGTTTGCGCCCGTGGGCGGCGTCGTACTGTAATTGACAGCACCGCCAGGCGGGTTGTTAATCTCGACACTTGGATAGGGTGTTTCCGTTGAGTTGCCAGTCAGTTCGGCGACTTGGTATTTTTGGTTGCTACCCGTGTTTGTGTTGTTGGAATCAAGGCCAGCTGGGTAGTTCGAGAATTTGCGGCCATTGCGGGAGACGGTTATGCCTGTGGGATTTGTTAGGACATCAAGCTCAATGTATACATGACATTGGGAAGTACCAGTCGGCCATTGGTCATTATAGAGATGTACGAGTTCAAGCGGCGGCCCCGCAACGCCGGGGTCCCGAATTAGGTGTTGGGCTGAGAGGGCTGGAAGCAATGCGCTTGCGGCAAGCAGTAATCTTGAATACATAGTCTCAAACATGTAACGAAATCAATTGTTCGCCATTGCGTGAGCCATTGTTCTTAAAATACTCCCTAGCTTGGGAAGCTGCATTAATGACCTCACGCGGATGCTTGGCTTAAACTGGGGACCGCCTTAGTTTGCTGGCGTCTAAGTCGGATGCGAATAGTCTCCACGTCATGTACATGTCACAAGTGAGGGTGGTATTGGTGATCTGAACCGGGATAGTTGAATTGATACAGAGGCTACGGCTAGCAGACCCACTATAACTACCAACCCCGCTTTCCCGGAGACGGCGTTGCGGCACGTTTCGTGGGCATGCAGGTACCGCCTGGCTGTTGGAGAATCTGGCAATAGCGCCAATCCATCGCGAGTCGTGTTCATCATTTCCCGTGAGAGCGTGTTACAATCAACATACTCAAGACCCGTCTTCATCCAACCCAGCTCTTGATTCTCTCCGTGAGTGACATGCTCGCTTCTTTACCTATCCATGTATATGATTGTTCTGCTTCTTCTGCTCCCTCTTCTGACTCAGCAATCGTCGCTGTTGCACGAAGCTTGCCATCTTGCATTTGAATCAAGATGTCTGAATCAGCAATGGCTGTCTTTTTGGTATTTTTACCCCGGATCGTCACTCTTGCATCATCTCCTTTGATGGCGGCCCTAGTCGAGAAATGATTCTTCAGTTGTCGATGCGCTATATTCAAAGAAAGAACCCAATCCAGGTAGGACACTGTTTCCTCAACAGACGAGAATTTATGTTGCGGAAACAACCCAAGATCTGCAGCTAGCGTAGATGGCAGTGTGAGTCTGTGTTCACTACCAAACGTCGGCTGGCCGATCACCGTACGTGTAGATAAGGTAATGCTCTCTGACGGCGTGCCACCCAGAGCTGGCAACGTCAGAGTGGCTCTTCCATCGAAAGGCTTTGAGAAAATATCTAGCAGTTGATCAGCCGCGGATATTCCCTTTTTAGGGGAGCTTCGCAACGTGTTGGCAAGGCGAGCCCAAGACACCTCACGAGTTGTGTCTAGTTCGATGGGGAGCCCAGCGTTTTTTAGCGTCTCTGCGACAGTGTTCAGATAGCCGTACAGCGAGTCCACCCCTTGTAGGTGGTGGAAGATTGCCAGTAATGTGCGAAGTAGTGATGGAGATTGCTTCTCTCGCTTTTGACCAGTCAAGGGAGGTGGCACCTGGGTGCGCCGGTAGAGGCGCATGCTTTGCTCATGCGTGAGTAACAAGCGTAGTCCCTCCACGATGTTCTGCGCAAGCCAGTCGTTTGCGTGTTCCTGGCTCGCAGGGTTAGGGCCCTCTAACGGTATGCAGTCGATGAGTAGAGTCATCGATCTCTGCTGACCAGCCGATCCGGACGCATCAATGTGTATGATAGAATCACGATAATCCACTCCGTGTGCCATCAGCTGTCGGGCCTCTAGGCTCATCTCGTGGAACAGCTCTTCTTCGAACAGAGAATTTCGGGTTCGTTGGATCGTCTTTTCGATGGTGGTATCGCTCTCACCAACCGCCGTCGGAAGATGGGACGTGCCTGTGACATTTCCATCTTGACGTATTCGCACGCGCAGCGATTTCGGCTTCGATGCCAAGGCAGGGTCGAGTATGATGCTGCCGTCCTTATCCATGCGGAGCGGTGCAAGTCCTCGTGCCTTAAAGTGATTGCTAGCTGTCCAGACGTCAGCTTTAATGCGATGCTGCAAGAATACAACATACCTTCAGGGTGTCCGTAACGAACAGCAAAAGGCACGTTGCGCATATCCTGGCGCACTCGTTGTATTGGCCAGCCCTTGTCGGAGATAGACACGATTTCCTGCCAGTATTTAGTCTCACGACGGACCTCCTTCTCTAACTTGCGAGCAGCCTTGAGTATGTCGTCTGTCGCGCGGTCAAGCGCCTCCATTCTAGCGCCTTTGGAAACAAGCTCCTGCCGATGAGCGTATTCTTTCAAAACGTCTTGTTCGTCATGTTTGCGGTCATGATGGACATGGCTCTCTTTGCCCAAACCAAAAGCACCGAAGGGAAGGCCTTGCTGCAAGCCCTGCATTTGCATAGAATGACTGAAGTTCGCGAGCGAGCGTCTGTTCGGGTCGGCGGAGAGAATGAGGGAAATGAGGTCGACCGTGTTGGTGGCAGCGAATTTCGCCCATCTAGTGTACTTAGTACCAGTCGCATGATATCCCTACGCGGTGCGCTCTTACTCCATATGCATGCACATCTCGTGCTGAGCCTTTAGCACCTCTTGTAGTCGCTCTTCTCTCGATGTCGCGTCCTTTTTTTTCTTTTTTTGCTCCAAACTCCCTGCAGCTTCTTCTGAGGCACCTTTGCCAGCAGCCATGTCCTCCTGCAAAGATTTCTCTGTGACATCGCGAAGGTGTCCACGCTCCGTTCCGAGCTGTTCAATCTGGAGCAGCAAATCCTGCGGACTCAGCTCCTCCTTTTTTGCGGCAGGCCATGGCCGGAGCGTCACATCTGCGAGCGACTCGTACCCAGACATGACCAAAGCAGCGTGCCAAAAGCTTGATTAACTGGGTGATATGTTGTGACGGTACTTTGTTGGATGTGGTGTGCCCTTGCTTGAGACTGGGAGCTCACTAGCGTCGATCCTTTCCTGGTTGCCTTATCGATTAAGCTCCCATGCCTGCTTTCACACCTGTGCAAGTGTGCATGTAATGTGACCGTTGCAATTGACCAATTGCGTGAAGCTGAGCTGGGCAAGAGCTGCCACACTCCAATTGTGCAAACTCTCTTTGACGGTGCAGACCTCCACGTGTGCTTGCTGCTTTTCCTTCTTCGGCTAGCGGCGGTTTCCGACAACGAGTTGAGGTCACGGTACCTGAACTCACAAACGGAGAACACCCGTCTATAACCTTTGTCACCCACGCCCTTCTGCCCGCTGACAGACCTCCTGCAATATGACGACCAGATACAGAGTAGAATGTGCGTCCCTCCCTTGGCTTTGAACACGCAGCATCCACCAACATCTAAACCCCACCAAGCGGCATGCTAACTTAGCCGGCAGATGCGCTCAAGGTATATCAAGCGCCAAATACTGGATATCACCTGCTAACATTTTAACAAGACACATCGTAGAGATCAGCTTGTATGTGTACTAACTTGTCCACGAGCAACTATCTAGGGCTGCAACTAATGTAGACCAACAGATTGAATGGATCAAGGTACTTCCGGTCTATAGCCAATTCAAGTACATCTTCTCACGAAATACGTTCTAGGGTCTTCTGGCAGTGCCCTTTGTCCTACACTCCCAGCCCACAGCTGTCTTTGAGCCTGATGGTCGATCTGTGGAGAAGCAAGCAAGTGTAGCGCAGCAGCGTTATGCTGAGATTTTCAGAGATGTTGAGTATATGATCAACGATCATAGTAAGTCTCATTCGATATAGTCGTGTTAGTATTTCTACATTCCCATGCTTTTGCTGACCGTACGTGAACAGTCGAACACCAGAAGGCCGGCAAAGCAGACCGATCGAAGCTCAAGCATTTGGTGCCGTCAATCGCAAACTTTTTCACGCCCCTGGCGCTTCATGATGCATTTATCTGGCAAGATAGACAGCGTAGCATCAGTTACCGACGCTTCGTTCCTCCATCCTTCAACGATGTAAGACTGGTGCTCAATACCGCGCAGCTGATCTCGCTCGTCCGCAGCGGACCCCTGGAGCTTGTCACCTTTGACGGAGATGTCACGCTGTATGATGACGGCCTGAACCTGACGCCTGAAAATCCGGTCATCGAGAAGATTTTACGGCTTATGAAACGTGGTTCTAGGATCGGCATTGTCACAGCAGCAGGCTACACCGAAGCTCACCGTTACTACGAAAGACTGTATGGTCTGTTGAATAAGATCCAGGAAGAGTTAGCACCAGACGCCAAGGAGAACCTCATTATCATGGGTGGAGAGAGCAATTACTGCTTCAAGTTTGACGCAAACAGCCCGAGCTTATTGAGGTTGGTACCAAGGGCAGAGTGGCTGCTCAAGGAAATGATGCTCTGGACCGACGCCGATATAACGGAGCTGCTAGATATCGCGGAAGCCTCGCTCAGAGATACCGTGAAGAACATGGGAATGACAGCGACCATTGTCCGGAAGGAACGAGCAGTCGGCATTATACCAAAGGACGGGCAGAAATTCTGCCGGGAAACGCTGGAAGAAACTGTACTGATTGTGCAGAAGATACTGGTTAGCAGCACCAATGTCTATTATCGTTTCGCATGTTGACAGGACTAGGAAATGTCTGAGGTTGGCCAGCGACTGCCATTTTGCGCCTTCAACGGTATGTCGAGCGCAGACCGTGTGAAAACGTGACTAACATACTGGCCAGGTGGCAATGATGTGTTTGTAGACATTGGAGACAAGTCGTGGGGTGTATTGGCCTGCCAACGCATCTTTGGAGGGATCGAAGGTGGGAAGACATTGCACGTTGGAGATCAGTTCTTGAGTGCAGGGGCAAATGATTTCAAGGCACGATTGGCTTGCACGACAGCGTGGATCGCGAACCCATTGGAGACTTGCCAGCTGCTCGACGAGATAGCTGAGTTAGACGAGATGCAGCAGCGCAAGACCAGATAACGTCGGAAATACAAGGTTGATGGCGAGCAGCTGCACTGTGCTATACCAGTTGTTCTATTCCTGACCCTGACTCGAAGCAAGCGGTAGCTGCCTGATGTGGCTAGTCGCGTGAGGGATGCTTGTTGCCATGGATTTCTGCGGCGCTGGACTGGTGAGGCGTGCTGGGAGCAGAGGAAGCGTGCTGGGGCAGCGGCGGAATCGACGTAACCGACGTAGCCGACGTAATCGAGCTGTTTATTATTCACTGCTTGCGGTGGTTGGGCTGCCGCCGTGCCGTCCGCAACGTCCGCAACGTCCGCAACGTCCCCACGCGCCGCCCTCGCCTCGTGTTGCGCAGAGAAGCGACCCCTGCTCAACTCAGCAACCTTACCGAAGCCTTCGCTCCCGAGCACCTCCTGAGCTTCTGCCTGCCTGCGGCTTTCGCGACAGGTCTCCAGTCACTATTTCCTAGCCCGCGGCCATCAATTGCTCCTGCCTGAGCTCCACTGCACGCCAGCAGCCTGCAACCTGCAACCACGCCGCAGACACAGCACATCCCATACCGGCGTTCGTCATGGCGGGCAACAAGTACAAGCCGTTGACGCTGACGCCCCATCAACTTCTCTCTCACAGAGGGCACCTGCGATTCCCGCGCCGCCCGATTCGCCGCCCGAGAGTCCTCGCCCGCCCACACCTGGAAAGGGCCCGCTGTCCTCGCATCCCACACCGCAGTCGGCAGTCTTTCCACACAGGGCCGCCGAGGGAACAAATGGCAACGGAGAGTCGGCGGGAGGAGAGCAGCTGCAGCCTCGGTCCAGCGACGCGGCCAGCAGTACCCTGTCTCCCACGAGTCCGCAGAGACGACCATCCTCGGTGCGAAAATTCCTGGGCCTGCGTTCCATTCCGTCCAACGACAGCCTCAAGTCGGACAGGCCTGGCTCGCCTGCCACCATTAACAGCCAGGCGCCGACGCTGTCGCGAAGAAAGAGCAGCAGCTGGTTTGGCAAGAAGAAGACGATCGGCTCCGTGCCCGAGGGCGTCGAGAACTCGAGGCCCGCTTCCAGCGCTCGCACAGTCTCGCAGCCTGTGCAGCCTGTGCAGCCTGTGCAGCCTGTGCAGCCACCCAAAAAGAAGGGCCCACCGCCGCCAGCCCTTCCCGAGCTCAAGTCGTTCGGGGTCAGCGAGGACTCGCTCAGCCTGGGCGCCGACGACATGTTCAAGAACATAGGTTAATACGTTTCAACGCGGGTACAGATGTGGGGTATAATAATCACGATGCATTTCTGACGGGCCTGGACATTTATGACACTGGTCGATTCTTCGTTTCTGGACGACTGGTTTGGGAGTTTAAGATTGGGGATTTTGATTTGGCTTGCATAGCATTGCACACGATACCCCAGTCGAAGGCAGAACAGTGGAGGACACACGATGACGGGAGCGTACCTGGACAAGAGACAACGAGGTGCATGAGCTGGCTGGGGACCAAGTGAAGGCGTGACGGCGACTTCTCCACTACGTCCTACTCCACATGGGATGCTAGCAAGCGTCTTCTTATTTTGTGTATATTCAGGCGACTCGACTCTGTTGCTGCCAGACATTGCAAATATCTATTCTTTTGTTCACGTTCTTCTTGATACCATCCCGTGGGCATCCATCAAGCACGCCCACTCACTGCTGTCTCGCTGCTGTAAACAGGGCCAACGTGGCAGGACCAATAGGGTGGGGTAGGGCTGTGAGTTGGCGCGTTGCTATGGGGCTAGGGCGGGAGAGCCCCAGGCACAACAACAAACACGCCGCGGCCGGCCGGCGCATCAACACAATACCGGCACAATCCTACCGTGTCGCATCGTCTGAACACGACTTTATTTTTTGGAACAACGGAACCAACAGCACTGCGCTCCGAGTAGCATCGCGACAAGACCGCACAGCCATGGCTCAAGAGACGGGCATGTTTTCGGTCCGCCGCCAGGTGAGTTCTTCTGCCTTCTGCCTTCTGCCTTCTGCCGCGCAGCTTCCTATCTTGTCGCACCTCTTCAGCGCACTTTCTGACCGCGCCTGCAGACATTAGCACCCGTGAACAACAACTCGTCTGCAATCCCCATGCCGTCGTCCGCAATGAAGCGCACGAGCTCCGTCTCCAACATGAACCAGCCATCGTCGCAATTCCCTCCCAACCTCGCGCGCTCGCAGTCCGGATCGCGCATGTCGCTTGCGCCCGGTCGACCGAGCCAGCCCATCTTCCAGCGCTCTTCATCGGGCACAAATCTCGCAGAGGGATTCCAGTCCGTCCACCGCAACTCGACCAGCAATGTCTTTGGCGCCAGCAGCGGCAGGAAGAGCTTTGCGCCCGGCGCGTCCGTCTTCCAGACACCTGCGCCGCTATCATCCGCCCCCAACTTCGAGCAGAGTGCCCAGCGCCGCAGCAGCGTGTTCAAGGCGCGCACTTCGCATGGCTCGGGCTCGACGGGAATCAAGCAGTCCTTCTTCCAGCAGGCGCCAATGCCAGCGCAACCTCCGACCGATCCACGACAACTCAAAGTTGCTGGCACTCGAGCTCAGATGGCCCAAGAACTGCTTGAGTTCTTGACCCATAACAACTTCGAAATGGAGTCAAAGCACGTGCTTTCCAACAAGGCCATGACATCGCCGACTCAGAAGGATTTCAACTGCATGTTCCAGTGGTTGTACAACCGCATCGACCCCAGCTACCGCTTCCAGAAGTCCATTGACCAAGAAGTGCCGGTATTGCTAAAGCAGATGCGCTACCCCTTCGAAAAGTCCATCATGAAATCGCAAATCGCTGCCGTCGGCGGCAACAACTGGTCAACTTTCCTCGGTCTTCTGCACTGGATGATGCAGCTCGCGCGTCTCATGCAAGCGTACGAAGCCGGAACGTATGATGATGCATGCTTCGAGGCGGGATACGACGTGTCTGGAGACCGCATCATCTTCGACTTCTTGTCAGACGCATATAGCACATGGTTGTCGGCAGAAGACGGGGATGAAGACGAGAATGACGAGGAAGTACAAGCACGCCTGATTCAGCCGCATGTCAACGCCATGGCTACCAAGTTCGACGCTGCGAATGCCCAGCATCATGAGCAAGTGAAGCTGCTTGAGGCTGAGCACAAGTATCTCCAGGACCAGATTGAGGAGCTCGGCAAATCAGGACCCAGGATCCAGAAGCTAGAAGAGCAGATTCGCATCCTCGAGGAAGACCGCGTCAAATTCGAAAACTACAACAACTCCATGGACGCAAAAGTGAAGAAGTACAACGATCGCTGCCAGCTTCTCGAGAAGTCCATCGAGGAAATCGAAGCAGAGCTTGAGGCATCAGAGAAGGAGCAACAAGAGCTCCAGGCCATTATCGACGGTCGTGGCATGACCATTGCGGATATCGACCGCATGGCAAATGAAAAGGACCGTCTGGACACTGCTTTACAAGCGACATCAACAAGACTAGAGGACTCTAAGAAGCGTGTTGCTGAAAAGGAGCTTGGTGCATCCCGGAAACTAGATGAGCTTGAACAAACCATCGAACGTTACAACAACCTTGGGTACCAGATTGGTGTTATACCTTCGACTGCAGTCAATGCAAAGAATCAGGAGTACGAGCTGGTCTTGACAATCACCGACACGCCCAACTTCTCTGGATCACAAATGGGCAGCTCATCACAGGATTCTTCGGATCGCTTGCTTCATGATTCGGGCACGGGCTACTCGCCACATCATCTCCTAAACCTAGACCTTCGGGGTACGGTAAAGAGTAATATCCTAACTCTTCGCAAAGAGATTGCAGAGCGGAGAAACGCAGCGTTGGAAGCAGACATGAATAACCACGACCTCCTCGATAAGATCAAAGAAGCCATGGACGACAAGCAAGCCGAGGTTGAAGCTCTGGGTCACCGTGTTGCTCAGGCTGAAGAAGAGTTGGAGAAGCTTCGCGAGATCACCAACACGCAAAAGTCCCAGTCTGACGCACAGATTGAGCGCATGGAGAAGGAGCTGGGTCGCATGCGCAGCGGTCTTGGCGAGTCTGTCCAGCTCATGGTACAACGTGAAATGGCTGTCAACATTGAGTAAGCTATGCCCCTACGATATTCTTGCATACCAACAACTAACTCTGTATAGATATGAACAGCTGCAGCTTCGTGCCAATGCCCTTCGTGAGGAGTTGCACACGGAAATCGAGCGCATGCTCGATGACATTGTGCGCTTCAAGCTTCATGTTCAGAAGAACCTCGAAGACTACGAGCAGTTCATCGCCGACGAAGTCGAGCGCAGCTGCGAAGAGCAAGACCTGCTCGCCCAGGGTGAAGAAGAAGAAATGGCCGACGAGTCGTAGACCCTTCTATGTATATGACTTGAGATGTGACTACATATAACGAGGTCATGAAGGAGTTTGGGTTCTGGGCAGGTACTTTGCTTGGTCTTCGCATCGACTGTTGGAAACCATCTGATGTTGCTGGAGTTGTGGCTAGGGCTGGATGATTTTTCGAGATACCTCATTTGCTCTTTCTTTACATTCCCAATTCTTTGTTCATACTGCACTGTCAACTTGATGTTCTCTTGCATGGTTTTGATGCCGCTGTGGGTCCATTTGATGACTAATATGACGCCGGCTGGCTTCAACATCGCGCCGATCAATCAGCTTCCGCGCTCCAACACGCATACACATTTTAGAGTTCAAGATGAGCGAGGCAAAAGAAATGGCTGTGATACTGACGGGTGCATCGAGAGGTGAGTGTCTCTGTCGCATGTCCTGTCCGGATCATATACATGACTGGTTCTCCTCCATATTACGAGTCAATTCTTCACTCATGGATCTCGGTTCAGAAAACCGTCTCTAGGGCAGGCAGCACGTGCTCCGAATATTGTATCCCAAACTTCTGCCATACTCCGTTCCAAGCGGCCAGGCTAATTTCTCATCTCAATTTTCATTAATCTGACCCAACATTATCCAGGCATCGGCCTAGCTACCGCACACTACCTCCTCTCGCACTCGCACAAGCTTGTCCTCATCTCGCGGACCCACTCCGCGCTCGACCAGCTGCACTATCAGTATGGTTCTGAGCAAGTCGAAGTACTAGCTGGCGACTTGGCCGATTCCTCCTTGCCCAGGAAGGCTGTTGAACTGGCCCTGGGACGATGGGGACGACTGGACGCATTGATTGTGAATCATGGCGGGCTAGATCCTGTCAAGAAGGTTGGCTATTGCCCCAGCAAGCTGAGAAAGCATCGTGTAATGACAAATGTTTAGGTTGCAGACAGTACTGCTGAGGAGTGGAGGAGTGCGTTCGATGTCAATGTGTTCAGTGCTGTTGGACTGGTAAGCCCACCTTTCACTCTGTGTGTACCTTCCAGGGGTATACCATCTACACCAAATCTTTACTACAGCACGCTTCTGTTGTCGGCTTCGTCAAGGTCCGGAGACTCTTCGAGGACCCTGGTCACTTTGAGCCTCTGCACATACCAAACTATGAGGGCTGGGATTTTGCATCTAGCTTGGGTTGAAATTATTGCTAACAAAGACAGGTCCAAGCTTCGCTTCCTGCTCTCCGGGCCACAAATGGCCGCATCATCCTTACGTCCTCCGGTGCCTCCATTTCGGCTTACCAGGGCTGGGGTGCTTATGGTGCCGGCAAGGCTGTCTTGAACCATCTCGCTTTAACCCTTAGTGTCGAAGAGCCCTCTGTTACTACCGTCTCTGTTCGCCCCGGCGTAGTCGACACAGAGATGCAGCGTGAGATTCGTGAAGTGCATCATGAACGCATGAGCGAGAAAGACCGCACCAAGTTCGCTGGGTTGAAGACTGGTGGCGGATTATTGCGACCAGAGCAACCAGGTCGTGTCATTGCAAAACTAGCTGCCGCAAGTGGAGATCAGATCAAAGGCCTAAGCGGCAAATTTTTGAATTGGAATGATGAGAGCCTGAGTATGTATCAGGAAGAGTAAGAAGAGTTTAGAATGTACACAGGATTGTCATAAGGTATCCCAGATGCCTTCAACGCCTTATCAATCGGAAGGCGTGAATCACTTGTGTGTGACGGTGACTGTCGCTCCCCTCGGTCGTCCAGCCAAGGTATCAATGTCCGTTGGATTTGCCGGAGCCTGAGGTCTGCCACTGAGTGTATCCACAGTCTCCTTCAGAGCCATCCAGAACTCATGCTTTGGTCGGCGACGATGCCACTCGGTCTCCTTCTTCTCGACGACCTCCATCGGGGAGAAGAGGAGCTTTGAGCCCTTGATGCCGATAACACTCACTGACAGCGGGTCGTCTTCACACTCATCTGGCTCCAAACCAGCATACTGCTCTAGATGTTGCATAGCCTTGGTAGCAAACCTCACGGCTCGGACACGGTCCATGGGTGAGGGAGTCGTTCCTTGCTGGAAATGACCGGGAACACCGTGCCGAGATTCGAACTTGCCCTTGCCGGCCTCTGCAATCATGTCGGCAATGATTTGTACAGAGTAGGTCCTGGACGCTTTTTCGTTCACTAAGATTACCTTTCCTGATCGGGAGTGACCCATGTCCCTTCCGAACACCTCCCGAAGATGGTCAATGTCGCGATCTAGCATCTTGATGTTGATGCCTTCCTCGGGTGTGTAGACAGCTAGAGCGCCGATGCTGAGACCAGCGACGGTTGCAATGTAGCCCGACTCGCCACCCTGTGTCTCGATAACGAACACTCGGCGACGGGAAGCGGACGCTGACTGACGACAGGCGTCGCAGTACTGGATGAGGGCGTTGAGACAAGTGTCGGAACCAATAGAATACTCAGTTCCTGGGACGTTGTTGGAAATTGTAGCAGGTATGACAACCTAGAAATTGTGAGCTTATTGTTTTGTCTGGGATTTACCGTGGTAATGTGCGATATGGAGTGGCTAATTGGCTGTGGGATAATCGACATGGCCTTTGCTGCCCTTGTGTACGAAGTGGGGAGCTTACCATGGGAATTTTGAAGGACTTGTAGTACTCGCGCGACTTTCGCAGCTCTGAAACGGCCGTGAAGGCTTCGAATCCTCCAACCACAAACAGAGATTGAATGTTGTAGGTCCGGAAGACAAAAGCCACAGTCTCAAGGTCCTCACTAGGGAGACCACGGTTGGTTCCAATCTCAGATCCGCCCTTGGACGCCCATGTCTCGGCGTCTATCCACTTTATCTCGCGAACTGCACCAAGCGGCTTGTCGGAGTGATGGCGGATGATGCCGGGGAAGCCATTGTGAAGCGCAACTGGTGTGTGACCGCGAGCTATGCAGTACGCCACTGCTGCTCGTGTAGCAGCGTTCATTCCACCGGCAGGTGCTCCGACGTGTATGATACCTACACGCATGCGCTTGTTCTCTGGTAGAAGCAGCTCGGGCTGGTCGGCTGCAGTCGTGATTTGATAGGACCTGTACTGCTCTTCGAATTCGGTATCGCGGAGCTGCATAGCCCGGTGGAAGTCTTTGTTTTCAATCGCAACAGCCACTTCCTTGGTTTGAGCTACGGCTTCGAGCAGTGGCCGTCGAACAATCTTGTTCTCCTGCATACAAATGACTGGGCTGGGTGTATCTGGGGTTGCCTCCAGCACAGCCTTGACAGCCTCAGAGCCTTGAAGCGTTGAAAGCATGCGGTCGTAGGCGCAGGGTGTGCCTCCACGCTGGACATGACCCAGGGTGGTAATGCGCGTATCGAGATGAGCCTCATTGGAGAGGATGTCCTTGACCTGTTGCGACGTGATCTTGTTCAGCTGGCGATCGATGGCGCCCTCGGCGACAACGACAATTGTTTTGCGCTTGCCCATGTCTCTGTGCTTCTTGATCTGTCGACACATGTCGGCCTGCCAGCCCTCGTCGGGGGGGTTTTCGGGTGTAAAGACGAAGTCGGCGCCGGTTGCGACTCCAGAGCTCAGTGCTAGCCAACCACAGTGCCGGCCCATGACTTCGATAACGAAAGCACGTTGGTGGCTGACAGCCGTGGTGTCGACTGAATCGATGGCTTCGCAGATGCGGCCGAGGGATGTGTAGCAGCCAATGGTTGCGTCGGTCATTGAGAGATCGTTGTCGATGGAGCCGACCAGGCCGACAATGTTCAGGTGCTTGAAAGGGTCGATCTGCTCGGCAGTGAGCTCCTTCTTCTCGACCAGCTCCTTCAGCAGCTCCGGCCACTCGGCGCGGAACTTGTCTGCGCCTGTGAGGGAGCCGTCACCACCGCAGATGATCAGCGCATCGATGCCCTTGATGATCATGTTCTTCGCGGCGGTGCGGCGTCCATCGCGCTGCATGAACTCCATGCATCGCGCGGTGCCAATGAGCGTGCCGCCCTCGGACAGGAAGCCGCGCACGTCGTCCCAGGTCATCTCCTTGATCATGTCGCCGCCTTTTACGAGCCCGTCGTAGCCCTCGTAGATGGCGTATGCCTCGCAGTTGTTGTGGATGGCCATGCGGACAACGGCTCGCACGGCGCCGTTCATGCCTGGGGCGTCCCCTCCGCTGGTCATGACACCGATTCTGCGCTTCTTGCCCTCGAGAGGCGGTGGGACTTGGGTGGGCGCCATGGTGTGTCGGATGGAGCTGGCTGTCTTCAGCTGGCTATCAGTATGAAACTGGGGCGTCAAAAGTACGTGAAGCGCTTCTGGCTTCGCTCAGAGCTGCTGGCAATCGAGGCTGTGGCTCGATTTTATGATTTATGAGGGCGGCCAAGGTATGAGGTCAGGGTGGGTATTCGGTTGTGTCCAGCAGAAAAGTACGCCGAGCGGGCCCTGTGTTGAGTGAGCTGCAGGTGGTGGGGTAGCTCTTGCCAATGGGAATGTGCAGGTAGTGGATAGATTTCCGGCGAGTCAGAGTCAGGTGCGCCGATGCGCCGATGCGATTTCTTGTGGCAGCAGCAACATGGAGCCTGGGGCTTGCTTATATGGCTTTTGCAGAGTCACGATAAGCGTGGCTCTGGTTTGTTGAAGCTGTTGCTCAAAACCGCTGCGGCATGACGTGGGATGCTCAAAAAAGAAAGCTCCGTGGTCCACTCGAGGTGGGGTCAGACCACCGCGCGCCAGAGCCTCTCTGCATCACTCCATCCAACACCACCGGCACCCTCTACCGCCTCGACAACGGCCCCAAACAGCGCAATTGCTCGCCACGTGGCGGAAAGCGACGAGCCGGCCGTAGTCCCAAGGTCATGTCGCCCATGCATAGCTGAGGCTGGTGCTGATGCTCCGATCCTCTAACCTTTGATGATTGCTCAACAGCTACCCCACGCTCCGACTTGTCCCTGCGTGGTACGACTGTGGCTCTCACGCACGACTAGAGTCATCCTCTGACGTGAGCAGGGTTTTCTTTGCAAAATCACTTGTCTACCAGTTTTTCCATAGTTGCACAATCATGTCCTGGTACATACTATGCTAAGGATATATGGCCGTTTGCGAGTGTTTCATTGACATGATGGTCCGAGTCGCCTAAAAGGTGCTCCGCCAAACCTCGGCTCCGCTCTCACGTCATAGTTTGCGCTCCTCGAAATTCCATAGTAGCACCCAAAGTACTACAGTCCAACGCGCTCGTGCTCTTCAACTCCGACAATCTCGTCATGGCTTCCACAGTATTGTCTCCAGCTCCCAGCCTTGCCCGAACATGTCTCCGTCGCCTACCACGTAACATAGGCGCCACATCGCGGCTCCCTCAACGCCGACCCATCTCCGCCTATGGTTATGAGCAGGCCAAGGCACTCACATTCTCCGAATATGGCGACCCACCGGCTGTCCTGTCGCTACATTCCCATTCGATATCTCCTCCACATAGCAACCTCATGACGCTACGCTTCCTCGCATCCCCCATCAACCCGGCAGACATCAACCAGATCCAAGGCGTATATCCCTCCAAACCCACATTCACGACCAGTCTCTCCACCGCCGAACCCATCGCCGTAGCCGGAAACGAGGGTGTGGCTGAGATCATAGCACTAGGTGATAAGGTGAAGGGCGAGGGCTACAAAAAGGGCGACTGGGTCTTCATGAAAGGCCCTGGCTTCGGCACCTGGAGAACCCACGCTGCTGCAACGACGGATCAAGTCGTCAAGCTCGACGACTCGATGCGGGAAGGAATAAGTGCCATTCAAGCTGGCACAGTAAGCATAAATCCTTGCACAGCGTACCGTATGCTGCGCGACTTCACAACATTGAAAGAGGGCGAATGGTTCATTCAAAACGGCGCAAATTCAGGCGTAGGACGCGCTGCTATCCAGCTGGGTAAGAAGTGGGGGTACAAAAGCATAAACGTTATCCGCGCCCGCGACGACAAGGCTGCCGAAGACAAGCTGAAGCAGGATTTGAAAGGCTTGGGCGCAGATGTGGTCATCACAGATGCAGAGCTCCAAGCACAAGGCGTGAAGGATCAAGCAAAAGAATGGACCAATGGTGGCCGTGAGCCCATCCGCCTTGCGTTGAATTGTGTGAATGGTAAAGCAGCGACCGCAATGGCAAAGTTGCTCTCGCCTTCTAGTCATTTCGTTACATACGGCGCCATGTCCAAACAACCTCTGGCAATCCCCGCATCTATGCTCATCTTCAAAGACGTTCATTTCCACGGCTTCTGGGTCAGTCGATGGGCAGAGAAGCATCCCGAAGAGAAGCAAAAGACTGTTGCGCATGTGCTCGACATGACACGCAAGGGAGAGTTCAAGGACACACCCTTCGACAAGATAAGTTGGGAGTGGGAGACCACAGGTGAGGAATTGATTGCAAAGGTCAAAGATACCTTGGAAGGATACCGGCAAGGCAAGGGCGTCTTTGTGTTTGGTGAGACATAGACATGTCGTATGTGAAATTAATGGTTATGGTATCTATCCCACATCCCAACGTTAATACCGCTTTGCTCAATTGCTTCGACCCACCATGCTCCCTCCAAGTGGACCAACCGTTAGTAGGCACCGACATCTTGTCCCTCTCTCGCCAACGTCTCGAAAACCCTCGGCGGCAGCTTGTATCTAATCAAACCCGCAAACACCATCAGGTCCTTGGCCTGTTGCAGCAATGAGTCTGCAATGTTCCTGCGCATCTGATCCACAAACGCGCCAGCCAGGAGATGTTCGCGGTGCCGCGAACAGCAGCCAATAGTCCAGAGCAGCACGTTGCCAATGTTTCGCGCGATCTCAGGCGGGTAGCCAGCAAAAGCGTTAGCCGACTTGCGGATTTCGCTAAGGTTGCCTTTGGCTTGTAAAGGAAGTATGTTGATGTTCTCCAGACGCTGGGATATGATTAGCCTGGACCGACAATGAATCGTGGATAATGGACTTACCTGTAGAGCAGTGAGGTAGTCACCGGCCTCGATGATCTTCTTGATCTCGTTGAGATTATACAAGATACCCACAGTCTCGCGATTGGATTGCGAGACCTGTCTCCACCACAGACTGTTTGCGTCATACAAGGCGAGTACCTTCTGAGCGAGCTCGACAGGGTCATCTGTGCCGAGCATGCTGATACTAGTGGAGTCGGACACTTGCCGTTGCTGCTGCTGCTGCGCTTCCATAGGAGTCAAGCGCGGCTTCAGCGGCTCTAAGCGCAATGGCTCTTGACCAAGCTCCACCGACAGTGCTTCAGCAAGTGAGCGATTCAAGATAGCAATGACGCTGTCATACTCGCCAGCAAGGTGGCAAAGCAGGATGGCATCGTTGGTGCGGCCATTGTCGTCCGCCATTTTGGCGGCCTCTCGAGTGATTGTGTTCAGCAGGCCATTCTCACCATTGAGCTTGAGCAACGGCACACGTTCCTGGATGAGACCAGGAGTAGTCATACCGTTGGATTTGACATCGCCCAGTAACGTTGAGAACTCACGTGTTTCGAGAACAAGTTCTCGCAAAGCTTCGTGGCATAGCTCCGTCTGCTGCTTACCAGCATCGCCTGGTAGATCCGAGTTCAAGCAGATCAGAACCAGATAGTCAGCCGCAGCATCGGCCCGAGCAGCTCGGAAGTCCGCGGTATATGCACCAACAACACGCCCAAAGTTTAACTGTGGCTGTTGTCGCGTGGTGTATGTCAGAACTTCGGAGCCGCCGGTAGCCCAATCGGATACTCTGAGTAGACCATAGTAATCGAGCGCAATCGCGAAATGGACCGTCGAAACGTAGTTGTGGTTGTACAGATAACCAAGGCCTGACTCAAACATACCAGCAAGCGTTGTAAGATAGAAGTAGACGCCGTATCCGCCCGCCGAATCAGCGTCTTCGCTGAAGTGCTTCTGGCCAATGTCGCGAATGGAGGATCGCAACTCTTCCAGGCCCCAGATCTCGCCAGCATTCTCCTCGGCACGGTTGCCTTCACGAGCCAGGTTAAACTGTAACCAGATCCAGTCGTCCATAGTCTCCTTGATTGGATTCAAGCTTCGACGGCTCAAATCACAGCGGCCGACTATCTTATAGCAAGCAGTTCGGTAGGGATCATCTACCTGACTTTGGAGACGAGCTCGCTGGGCGAAGACATGGCCTATCTTCTGATGGAGATCGGGGCTCAACCGTCGATCTGGATCGGTTGCGTAGTGTGATAGAGCTGCCTGGAAGTTCCTGTCGGTGTTCTGGAAGAAATTGCGCTTCTCTCGCACGTAGTCGGCCGCTTCAGCGGACAAGCCTGCCTTGAGCAAGAAGAAAACAATGAGCCAAGGGTACTCGTCTCCAGAATCACCGATTTTCTGGAGACAGTCTGTGTCTTCGCCAAATTCCTTGAAGGCTATCTTGGCTCGAATATAACCGCGAATTTTGTTCAATAGAGAAGGAACACCACCGACGAGCGCTTCGTTAGGATGCTTCTTCAACGTCGCATCTACTTGCTCCAAGAACCGCGTCTCCAAAAATGTACGGGAGCCGTCTAGAATCCGTTTGCGTATCCGAAGGCTCCCTGCTGAGTTCGGCTGGTCTTCGAGGTAGTCCCTAACGAAACTTCGGGGCCTGGGGTTGTTCGACTCAGGATTAGACGATTCCGACTCAGACGCCTCTCTGGTAATCGAGACAAGCGCTCTGTACGCTAGGACAAATTGCTCTGAATGCTCGGTGCCAGTCGTTCTCTCCACCTCGGAGAACGCATGGAGAATTGAGTAAGGAGCCTCCCGTTGGCGTGCGTCGTTGAGTTTCTTGACCTCCTCCATGAACCTCTCTTGCTTGTCTCGCTCATAGCGGTCCCGAGGGCCGGCTTGTGTTCCCAGTACGGACGCACCATGACCTTCACGCCCATTGAGCACACTCTGCCCATTCCCAATGACGGGTGGGCCGCCGACTGACGCGCCAAATGTCGAGGCCCCATTTGTAGACGCGCCTTTTGGCCCCATGGAACGGCCCTTGCGGGTCGAACGCCCGAAAGCTCCCCTCGCAGTGCTGCCGAAGGCGCTCTGGGAAGCTGCCATGTCCTCATTCTGCCGCCCCAGACCGAAATGCTCATAGATCCTCTGTCTTTGCTTGTCCCACTCGATCTGGACATTGTCTTCGAGGAAGGCGTCGAAGTCACGCTTGGACTGTTCCAGGCCTTCTTGGATGAGTGAGAGCGTGGATTGCGAGTGGAGGTTCGAGATGTAGCCATCGACATCAGTGTCGAAGAGGTTCTGTGCCATCCCGTTCGCGCCAATGCCGGCTTGAGTAGAGAACTGATTCAGATCGCGAAGGGTACTGCCCAGCTTCACACCCGAGGCCGAGAGAAGGTAGTGCCTAGAGGGCGTTAGCATGCAATTGCCCCAAACTCTGGTGGGTCACTTACGCTGCACGGTCTTGTGCGCCATCTCGAACGTGATCTGCGGAAGGGCCGCCAGCGCCCAGGTTGCGAACCTTGCGCGCAATGTCGCCCAGTCCCAGCTGCAACGATGGCAGCTCCTCGAAGTTACTCCCTCCGTTCTCGCCAGCATTGCGTTTGCGCCCACGCTCGAGGAGATTGTCAAAGTGCGCCGAGCGCGTGGTACCGGCGTTTGACTGGGATAGAGAGGCGCCCTGCTGCTGTTGCGGCTGCTGCTGTGTCGAAGCAGTGCCGAAAAGGGAGGACTGTCCGAGGCCGCTTGTTTGCTGCTGGTTGTTCATTGTCGATTGCTGCGTCGTTGCGGGTTTGGCGAACAAGCTGAAGGAACCGCCAGTTTGCGTTTGCGGTTGCGACGTCGATGTTGCGCCCAGTGCAGGGAAGGTAGATGACGATGCTGGCTTCGCGCTTCCAAGGGCGCCTCCAAACAGACTGCTTCCAAAGCCCCCTGTGCTTGCTGGCTGCGACGGGCCCGCTGCTGCGCCTGGAGTACCTCCGCCCGGATTGCCGCCAAACAAGCTCGATCCTGTGCCTGACGATGTGTTGTTGCCCGCGTTTCCGAACAGCGACTGTGATGCAGGAGTGCCTGACGCAGGTGCTGCACTAGATGCCGGCTGTCCGCCTCCAAGACGACCGAAAAGCGACGACATGGTGGTGAATGTGTTGTCGCACTGTGTTGATTGTGCGGAAAACAACAATCGCGTTCACGAAACCGTAGACCGACTAGCTTGGGCCGGGGGAGCTTGGGCCGCTTATCCCTGTACGCTAGGCCGTCCAGACACAGGTGCCATTGGAGTGTAGAACACCAAAAGCGTCAGTCTCTTTGAAGGCTGCGCCGTTTGACATGATTTGGAGATGGCACCACACAGTCATTGCTTTGACTGTCAGGCATTTGTTCACAAACGTAAATCAGGTAGTGCTCAAACTTGCAGACCGTTCGCTCTTTAGACCAGCCTGCTCATCTATGCAAACCGCAGTACAGATGTTGCGATCCGGGTCCCACATGCGAAGCGACGAGTCTCAACTACAACGGGCGATTCTCCGGGCGTATATCTTATGGATATCTCTGTGGTGGCATATTGACAGCTGCATCTTACCCTCAGACAACCCAACCTCCCGCCACGGTGCGCTTTCCGAAATGACCAAGTCTGAGCTTAACCCACCTCATTTCCCAACAGCATTCTACCAAAGGAGAGGGCCTGACAAACACCGAGCAGCTGTATGGTGTCCTATACAGCGCGAGTGGTTCCAAGATGGACGCGAGCTCCGCAACATCAAGGCCTCCAAGTCATTTGTGTGGCCAAAAGATGGACGGAATGGTACAGCTTGGGGCCGCTTCAAGGACATCCTTCAGAACAAAGGCCCGGATGTGTTCCTTACGATCAATGCCAACACACACGAATATATGCAGAACCGACCATCAAGTGATCGATGGGCTTCGATTCCAGGCCTTGACTACACATCCTATCCGACGCCTCTGAGTTCGAGGAAACATGCCTCTTGGACTCAGAAAGGCGGTCTCGGCGGACGTATGCCAGGAATGCAATACGACTTCCGCACACGCAAATACGGGGTGCCAAACTGCGCATCATGGACAGGTGCTGTTTGGCAACCGGAGCCTCGGAAGAACAAACACAATCTGTATCCAGAGGCCTATCGCGATGTCTATGGGGACTGGTTTCAGGATTTCCATTACCGGCCACAGAATCGTGGCGGCCCAGTACACAACGAGCAAGGCAAGGGAGCTCCACGGTGCCACCTGCGACGGTGGCTGCCATAGAATTCAACCCAAACAGCTCTCATGGAAGGCTTCCCACACGATCTCAGTGGTTTCGTTCGCGGCAGCGACCTGTTTACTACGCCTAGCAGCTGGTGTCAGTGCCATATCGTCGAGGAGACGTCCGCATTTGGCACAGGATGTGCCTTTCACGGTCTTGTATGCGGTAATCATATCCTATGAAAACTCAGTACGAATCCCAATACCTCCATCCAATGTGTCACACAACAGTGTATACAAGGGTCTTACCAGCAGAATCTTCAAATCGTTCGGGTGTGGCCGTGATGCAATGCACCTGTTGATCGATAGCCAGGGTTCAGTGCTGCCCATGCTGCCCACATTGAGCTTGTGCTTTCCATTCGCATCGTATTCGACAGTAATACGAAATAGAAGTCTGACACTGCCAGCTACAAATTGAGTCTGCGAAGATGTTAATTCGTGCGAACATGAGGTGAATGCTGACCATACTGATATTCTCCGATTATCGTCCTGTGTCTCCAACTTGATGTTCGGCTTTGATCTTTGAAAGTCTGCGACTATGCGTGCAACATCCTCGTTGGAAAGAGTAGCACTGCCATCGTCCGTACTCTCACTGTCACCCCCCTTGGTAATATTGTGCTGTTTCTTTTCTCTCTCGGTCCAACCATGTGCGGGCATGGACCTACTTGGAGAGAGATCTGAATTTGCAACCAGGCTTTTTCTGGTGTGTTCAAACACTGCCTGGGTCTCCGGGCTCCTCCATTGCTCGTGAAGCGTCTTTATGTCTTGTTGCGACCCTTGTACACCCTGGGCATACTGTTTGAACATTCCAGCGCTTGGGGGCCGCTGAAAGGGCTCGACGATGCGTGGAATCGCAAGGCGTAAATCATCAATCTGTGCTGTGTGAGCTATGATAAGTGGAAGTGAGGACAGCTTGCAGACCTGCGCTTGGAGTTGCTCGAGCTGTGCGAGGGCCGATGCACATTGCGCTTCGTCCCAGCCGGCACCTTGGTCGCCAGCAACGTCCGGCGCTGACATGGCGATATGGTAAGATGGGCGTGTAAAAGAACGCGATGCGCAAAGGTATGAAGAAGTAAAGTAATTATACTCGGGCGCGATTGTTGCGCAACTGTGAATGGAGCGATCAAAACTGAAGTGACGGGTGAATGTGAGGGCAGGCCTTAGACAAGACTATCGGAAGCTTGAAGATCGGCAAACCTACTACGGCCCGCGCTGAACCATGCAGGCAATGTCTCCACACCCACGCTTTCACGTGCTCACGCCTTGAATCCTACCTGCTACGAGTGGAGTACCCTAGGTTTAGAAGGACCTTCCCATAAGCACGCGTACTATCGCCCGGGAAGGTTGTTCTGCCATGTCACGCGTGTTCTGAGATGGCCGACAGTGTTTCCAGGGTTGCTCTTACTATTTACAATAATTCCAACTGGTACCTACAAACTTAACTAGCGCCAGTTTCTACATTTACATGTTCGCTTCTCTACAGCTTAGCCTTCTGCACAACGACCTTCTCCTGTGGTCCGATGAGCGGATCATATACATTCAAGCCAAGCGTGTCGTTGGGAACTGGTGCCGTGTGCAAGCTCAGTCCTCTGGTGTCGAGCATCGAAGGGTTAAGATCTGCGACGCTGGAGGCACCAATGAGACGCATGTTCATCTCCATCTCGTCCTTGAGTAGCTGCATGGCGCGGTCAACGCCAGGCAGACCATAAGCAGACATGGCGTAGAGAAATGGTCGCCCGATACCGACACCCTTTGCACCTAGTGCAACTGCCTTGATGATGTCCGTTGCTCGTCGTACACCTCCATCAATGTACACCTCGATGCGATCCTGCCAACCCCGTTGACGTAGAATGGGCATAACCTCAGCAAGGACTTCGATGCCGGAACGGGCAAAGTCGAGTTGACGACCTCCGTGGTTTGAGAGAACGACTCCATCCACACCTACTTCGACAGCACGGATGACATCCTCAACACACTGAACGCCTTTCAGGATGATAGGCATCTTAGTGATGCTCTTGAACCATGGGATATCCTTCCAACTAAGGCTCGGGTCAATAAAAGACGAAATGGCTCGTGCTGCTCCCTGGCTGCGGTCCACGTTGTCGCCGGATGTGCTCTGCACATTTGAACCCACGTCTGAGAATTTTGAACGCATATCCTTCTCGCGGCGGCCAAGTTGGGGCGCATCTACGGTGATGAAGAGGCCCTTGCATCCACGCTTCTCGGCGTGCTGGACGATGCGTTTTGTGATCTCGCGATCCTTGTTGACATACAGCTGTAGCCATTGACATTGCCCATCCTTGGCCTCGTCCACAATCTCATCAAAAGAACACGACGCGAGTGTGGGGATCATTTGGACCACGTTGTGCTTGTGCGCGCCGCGGGTCAAGACGACCTCTCCTTCTGGGTTGCCGAGCTTACCAAGTGCTGTAGCAGTCACGTAGAAGGGAATATCGACTTTCGTTCCGAGCATCGTGGTAGACGTGTCTACTTTTTCGACATCGACGAGGACGCGGGGTCGGAACCAGATCTTGTGGAAGGCGCTGTGGTTCTCGCGCAGCGTCTGTCGGTCCGTCAGTACAGCTTATTGCTACCTGGCTGACTACTCACAATCTCGTCGTCTGCACCACTCGAGTAGTATGCCCAAGCTGACTTCTTCATAACCTTGCGGGCAACAGCTTCAAAGTCCATGAGATTGTAGCATTGCTCCAAGATTGGCATTCGGTCGATGCGCTTCTGTCTCTCCTCTTCCTCGGGGTCAAATTCTTTCTCCTCCTTCTCCACGGTTTGCATGTCAACCTCGCCCAGATGCTTCGACTTGTCTAGGTACTTGTCGAGCGTGTCCGGCGGATGAATTGGCTCGTACTCTTCGGTTGCATCTTTGCCAGCATACTTCAAGATGATCTTGGGACCTCCAGGATGCTCAGGCAGGAACTCGGTGATGTCGTAGGCGCGGCCATGGATGATGACCCAGCATGATTCCCTGTTGTTGTGCTTTGCAACCTTCGTCGCCAGTAAGCTTGACAGCCTGGGTGTCGTTGCTGTTGCGGTTCATGTTTGCAATCGTAGGATGATGGCCTTCAAGATGAATAAGACAACGGGGAGCTTCAAGTGACTCGAGTCGCGCGGGTCACGTATAGATGGGAGGGCCGGAATGGCTGGAGAGATGAAATAATGGAGAGAGGTCGATTATTTCCAGCCACTCAGACAAGGAGGCGGCGGAATGTCCAGGATGGCGACGGCAGCATGGTTGTAGACGATTAGCTCGGTACATGTCTCCCCGCAAAGCGCGTCGGATGCTGCCCAGGGACGCTCAAGCCCCATATTTGCAAGGTTGGAGGCGAGGCGTCAGGGTTGACTAATCGAGCAACCCGGCGGCCCTTTGTAATTCCAGACATCTCATAGGGGCGGTCTCGACTGGAGTATTTGTTGCTGATGATTTGCCAATCGGAGCCCTCGCGCCGCCGCACGTCCGATTTGTGGGGAGAAGCATGCCATGGAGCAATGACGCGCATTTGCATTTGCAGCCGCTGCGACTAGGGACAAACGAATGTGCGATAGTCGATCCCATGGCAAATGCTCTCGATTGCCATAGTTTTGATCACGATGCACACTGCACACTCGTTTTCCCATCACTGCGGGCTCCACCACGCTGACCGATGTTGGCTTCGCGGCGCGTATCACATGGTCGCCAGAGCCAAGGCAGGCGCCCGCGGCAAGCGCCAAATGCACTCTGGCTATGTCACTATTGACACACTTTGCCTGGCAGTCATTCCCTCGTGCGTTCTCTGAGACATGTTCGCACATCTATCCACATTCACCACACGCCATGCAACTTGTCCCACGACCGCCTACCAGCCCGTCTTTTGTTCTGCCCCCAGCCCCGAGAACGCCGCTTCCCACTTGAGTGCCGTCGGCCCCTAGGTCACAGTCTCAACCACCGGCTCTCGTCCGCGTCATTAGCCCGCACACGTCCTCGCGATACTCGACAAGTGCTACGACAGGACATGGCAAACAGCCTGGAGGCGAAGATCGTCGTGTTGGGCAGCCAGGGCGTTGGAAAGACGTCCCTCGTCCACCGCTACGTCAAGAACGCATTCACGCCCCCAAACACACAGTCCACCGTCGGCGCATCATTCTTGACCAAGAGAGTGGTAGATATCGACACATCCACGGTTGTCAGACTGCAGATATGGGACACCGCAGGGCAAGAGAGGTTCCGGTCCATCTCGAAGCTGTATTACAGAGGTACGTTCCAGGGTGCTATCCCAAGTCTCCTGTTGCTGTCTGCAGAGCTGAAAGAGCTAACCTGGTGCCCTGATCAGGCGCGAATGCCGCTGTTCTATGCTATGACATCACCGATCCCACCTCGTTCGACGAAATGGGCCGCTGGCTGAAGGAGCTGAAGACCAACCTCGGAGACGACATCATATTGCACGTTGTTGGCACAAAATCAGACGTCGTTGCCGAAGACCCTTCCCGGCGCCAGGTGCCCTTCGAGCGCTGCATCGCCTACGTGGCCGAGAACATGTTTACTGCGCAAACCACTGCACCGACCGCCCCGCCGAATGCCCGGAGAGGAAGTGTACAAGTACTCGGATGGGGATCGGCGCCAGCAACATTCCAAAACGGTGGCATGGCGTCCCCCCAAAGCAATAGATCGAGTGGCTTCTGGGGAAACGATGTCGGCTGGGACTGCTGTCACGAGATCAGTGCCAAAGACGGAGAGGGCGTGGATGAGGTCTTTCGAGTCATCACACGAAAGCTAGTAGAACAACAACAGAAAAAGTTCGATGAGGAGCAGAGACAGCTTGCTATGGCCGGGGTAACACCTGGCATTGATAGCAACGGGAATCCCAATGGCTACTTCGACTACCCCGGAAACAGCAATGGAAGCTTCAGAGTCGGTGCAGGTGATAAGAGGCGAAGCTGGTTGGGGTTTCCTGCTACCCCTGGCGCCGGAGGTCATCAACAAGAGTGGGAAGAAGACATCAGCAGAGCCCAAGCAAACAAAGGCGGGCGTTGCTGCTGATGGCACGTCTTTGATCTGATCATTATACGTCACTGTTGCGATCCAGCCCCACCGAGCGATTCCATTCGTACCATACACCGTTCACTCCACATCGCCATACTCTTCGATTCGCGATACCCTCTCTCTTTTCTGATACCCGCTTTGTCTAATCACGCGCGATGCTCTTTCTACCATGTCTTTTTTTTTCCTGGCTCGACCGAGCACTTGTAGTGTAGAATAGTCTTCTTCACTCTAGCGCGTTTTCTGGGACTCGTGCTTGATTCACTGTTTCATGCTTTCGGTTGGATGCCTTAGACCTACGTGTTCTCGTTTCCATCGCGATGAATATGAACAACCGCGTTGTCTTGTTAGACCTTGCTAGTGTCCAGTATAATCGTATGCAAGCTGGAGCAATCGAGTTCCATGGTCCGTCCAATCTGCGCTCAGTTTTATGAACGCACATCTGACATAACTTAAGTTCTTACAATGCATCTAGATCGTGTTGTGGCAGGATCTTCGGGGTGTGCGCTGAGGACTTCCAAAGGTGCCCACATGGTTCGAATCAAGGCAGACTTTGCATGCATTGCCACGCAATCATTTTCACCTGCTATTGTTGTTCGGCTCTATGATCTATACGGAGCGGTTATTTTGTGGGCATCTTGACGCTGACTAGTTGTGTAAAAGCAGATGCGAAGTATACCTTCATTATCACCCTTACTAGAAACAGTCTAAGAATAATCCTCTCTACCCTGCACGCATCAAGACTTAGATTTCAATGCGATCAAATACCTTGCATCCAAACTTCCATACCTCATCGACGACCAGTTTGCCTTCCCCATTTGCAGCCTTTTGCAAGTCCAATACTACTAGGTCGGCATCAGCGCCCTCTTGTAACGTACCTTTGGTGCCTTCCAAGCCAAGCATCTTCGCCGGTGTTGTTGTTACAGCTTTCAACGCTTCGGGTACAGTTGCGCCCGTCCAATTCAGAAAGTTCGTAACACAGTCCACAAGCTGGATACTGCTGCCCGCAATCTTCCCATTCTCTTCGAGAGTAAGCAGCGCCCCTTGCTTGATGATGCGCGAACCATTCGTCCAGTCATATGTCCCGTCCGGCATACCGGCAAGACGCATAGCGTCTGTGACTAATACCAACCCCTCCGGATGGGCGTTCCAAGCAATTTTGATGGATGTGGGATGAAGGTGGATACCATCTGCTATGATACCGAAGTATGGTTTACAATTCGTGGATGGCGCTGTGCCTAAAAGGCCGAAAATCCCAGGGTTACGATGATGCAAAGGGCGCATGGCGTTGAATAGATGAGTGATCATGCTAGCACCTGCCTTTATACCCGCTTCGGCTTCTTCGTAGGAGGCTTCGGAGTGCCCCATCGACACACGTATGCCGCGGTCAGAAAGCACTCGTATGGACGACAATGCACCTGTGAGCTCGGGTGCAAGCGTCACGAGTTTAATGTTCGGAGTAGGACCAAGGTTGTCGGCGCCATAGCATTCGACAAGGTCAGATATGCCGTTGGCAGGCTCCTGGAGAACATTTGTATTGTGAATACCGTTCTTCGTGGGGTTGAGAAACGGGCCTTCGCAATGTGCGCCGAGCGACTCTGAACCGTGGGAAGCATCACGTGCAGCTCCCGAAGGACCCAAGTACGGTAGAGCCTGTAAAGTCGTCAGACAGAGACCGGATCAGAGCGATGAGATGATTACTTTTTGGTAAACCTCGGGTCGCTGTGAAGTCAAAGTTGGCAGGTACGATGTGACGCCTGTCGCTAACAATCTTCGATTGACTCGCAGAACACCCTTGCCATATGCTGCGGCTCCCTCTGCCGGTATAACGGAAAAGTCAAAGCCATAGGCGCCGTTCAGTTGCGTGTCAATCAGGCCTGGCGATAGAATCCGACCGCCAAGATCAACAATCTTTTCTGGTGCAGTCCGATGCTCATACAATATCTCTTGTCCATTCAAAATCTTTCCACTTGAGGAGCTCACCCACAGATCCTGGCTAAGTAGACTGTCGCCCTTGACCAACAGACAATTTGTGAATTTGATTATGCCCGACGCACCGTGCATTGCTACGACGGATGGCATCGTGTACGTAAGGCTGGGACAAGGTCGGGGATGACAGGATGCCAGGAAAGATGGGGTGTCGACAGACGAAGGATAGACGCAACAAAAGTGACCGAAACCGGAGTATATTCCTGGTCGCACAGCGGCTGGGACACGCTCATGACCGCTGGAAATGCAGCTACCTTACCTTGCACTCTTATCAGAGGGTGAGCTTCCTCAGACTGCTCCGGCCAATCAAAGCAACAATACCGAGCTGCGGCCAAAATTACTCTTTGTGTCGCGATACTGCTGAAAGGAAGCGCAGGCATCATCATCAAGAGGGGTTGACTATTGGTTGCGCTGACACGTAGAGGTCCCATTTCTGGGAGCGATGTCACACAGCTGAGCAGCTCTTGACGATCGGGGGCAGGGTGCATCAAGGTGGTATTAGGCCGGAGCGGAGTCCGTGCGTCCCTGCAGCTCATCTGCTACCGTTCCGTTGTAGCCCCAGCGTCCACAAGTCACGTTGATCCCATCGCATGTTCGCATCCAGAGCCCGAGGCATCCAGCGCTGTCACCATGGCAAAGACGGAAAAGATAGATCCCGTGTGGGATGACATGGACAGAACAATGGTGGGTCTTCTCCACAGAACGTGCCATGATTGGATCAGCTAACAGCCGCGAAGGGTCAACTGTTCATGATGGGCTTCGACGGTAGAGCTTCCAACAGTTTTCTCTTAACCCTGAAACTTAACGGCTTTAGGAACCACGGTTACTCCTCACGTGAAGGAGCTAATCGAGAAGCATCACGTGGGCAACTGGCTTCTGACGGCAAAGAATCTGAAATGTGAGATTCGCCTATCTCAAGCGTGGTAGCAATGTGTCTCATTGTCATTACTAACCGTCTCCAGCTGCAGAGGATACGACGAAGCTATGTTACCAACTGCAGAAAATCGCCCATGATGCGGGTCACCCAGTCCCCCTCGCTATAGGAATTGATCAGGAGAATGGTGGTGTCAACAGTCTTTTCGACGAGATCTATATCCGCCAATACCCAAGTAACATGGGTATAGCTGCGACAGGTTCGACAGACCTGGCATTCGAAGTCGCCAAAGCAACAGCAAAAGAGATTGCTGCCTGTGGAATCAACTGGATATTCGGACCCTGTCTCGATGTGCTCACCAATGCTAGGAATCAGCCGCTCGGTGTGAGAACAGCGGGCGATGATCCACAGGAAGTCTCTGCCTTTGGATGCGCGTTTATGCAAGGCTATAAAGAGGCTGGAGTTGTCACGTTGGGCAAGCACTTCCCGTCATATGGCAATCTGGAGTTTCTTGGCTCAACACTCGATGTGCCCATCATTACAGAATCGTTAGAGCAACTCAGCCTTAGTGCTTTGGTCCCTTTTAAGAAGGCTATAGAAAGAGGCTTGGACTCAATGATGGTCGGTGGATGCGCCATGTCCTCGGCGGGTCTCAACGCAATGCACGCATGCTTGTCAGAGCAAGTCGTGGACGAGCTACTACGGAAAGATCTACAATTCAACGGAGTTGTCGTATCAGAATGTCTCGAGATGGATGCTCTTAGCCACAATATTGGAGTGGGTGGGGGCACAGTCATGGCTGTCAACGCTGGCTGTGATGTTGTGCTTCTATGTCGCGCGGTTTCGCTGCAACAAGAAGGGCTCAAGGGACTCAAGACTGGGGTTGAGACTGAGATGGTGTCGAAGCAAAGAATATACGACTCGCTCAGCCGGGTTTTGGCGATGAAGGCAAAGTGCACATCGTGGGAAAAAGCGCTCAACCCTCCTGGCCTCGACTACCTGGAAACCTTACAACCATTGCATACAGCACTTTCAACGAAAGCATACAACAGCTCGATATCGGTGGTACGTGATAAGAACAGACTGCTCCCCTTGACCAACATACTCGAGAGCGAGGAAGAGCTGCTCCTGCTTACGCCCTTGGTGAAACCCTTGGCTGCATCTGCTGCATCTCGAGCTTTATCTGACGTTGCTACTGCAAATGCTCATTCTCCCGAACCTGCCGCATGGGAGCGGAGTGCGTCGGTCATGAGTGGTGAGCGAGTTTTCAGAGAATTGGGACGATCTTTGGCCCGACAACGGAACGGACGCGTCCTGCATACTTCATATACCGCAAACGGTGTTCGACCTGTTCACGAAAATCTAATCAACCGCGCGAGTGCAATCATCGTAGTCACTGCGGATGCTAATCGCAACCTATACCAGCATGGCTTTACGAAACATGTCTCGATGATCTGTAACATGCAATACACTACCGGTGGCGAGCGCCGTGAGAAACCGCTGATAGTAGTAGCCGTCAGTTCGCCATATGACTTTGCTATGGATACTAGCATTGGCACATACATTTGTACCTACGACTTCACAGAAACAGCCCTCAACTCGCTGGTCCGTGTGCTTTACGGGGAACTGTCGCCCACCGGTACGCTTCCAGGCACTATCAGCAAGAGTCAGAAGCTTCATCCTTCGAGGCAACATTGGTTGGTGGAGATTTTCAACGAAGAGCGGGATGCTAACGCCCTGGACACTCTGGTAACAGCTGTGATTGACAGTGCGCAGCCGAATCAGCGATCGGAGCTGTCCAGCGCCACGTCAAACTCTTTCATTCTACATCACCCAGAGATTGAACAGTCTCATTTCGTGGTCCGCAACAGCAGCACTCAGGCGCTATATGGCTTTTGTTCGACCTATTTCTTCAAGTCGACGGGTACCGGCGTTATCGGGGCATTGTTTGTAGACCCAGGAAGGAGGAAGCTTTCAATCGGCCACTCTCTTCACAACAGAGCTATTAGGACGTTGTTACAGAAAGAGGGTATCAAGCGATTCCAACTGGGTTCACGGTTACCTAGCATGTATCTTGGCATTCCAACCGGCCATGGGTCGGAACGAAAGCGGCTAAGGTCATGGTTTGCCAATCTGGGCTGGGGTGCTGCGCTATCTCGTCCAGTTTGTAATATGGTGGCGCGGAATCTGCAGACGTGGAGCCCACCAGATGGCATGGCCAAGAGCCTGGAAAGTGCTGGTTCCCAGTTTGATCTCGTTTACGGGTGGGACTATGCGGGCCCAATCCTCGACCACATCAAGACAAGTAACCGGCAAGGACTTGCTGAAGTATACAAGCTGGCACTTTCAGACCCATCAGCATGCGGCATCATCCGAGCGAAGCGGCCTGAAGACGGAGCTTTGGTTGGCACAGTAGTGCTCTACAACCACCATTCCCGCCTATCTGAGTACATCCCTCCCCTCAAAGACCTCAACGAGGCTGCTGGAGGAATTTCCTCTCCCGTGATATCGCCAGGGGTGGGTGAATACTCGACGCTGCTCCAGGGCTTGATCCTTCTCGGGATGAGACAGATCAAAGCGCAGGGGTGCAATGCCTGTCTGCTCGACTATGTAAGTACTGGCCTGTCTGTCAGGCGGAGCTCGATTCGGATGCTGACATTTCCAGATGGATGGAGACGGCAACTTTGATGGGTTTTCGTCGATGGGATTTGACGTCATGCACAACTTCGAGGAGGTGAGCTGCGATGCGGCGACTTGGACCATGATTCCGCCGGCGTAATTGTCATGTGTAGCATGAGTATATTGGTATTTGAAGCGTTCTGCATGGGCTCGATTAGGCAGGTTTATTGGTGTTACGGGAAAGTTTGCACAACATAGATGGATTATAATGGGGCGCTTGCAAGGCACAAGGCACAAGGTGCAAGGCAATCCTTACGGAGCCCATTTCTTGAGTGCGAATCTGGTGGTCCCGCGCTGTGCAGGTCGACGGGGGGTGATGTCACAGGCGACGTCGGTTTAGAGCTTGACTTATTTTTGGAGAAGCGGTGGGTCTCTCGCTACGGCGCTGAGGGGGCGATGTGCTACTGGCTGCGGCGCGACGGCGAGTTGACAAGGCAATGCGATGCGATAAAGCGGTGCATGTGCGACAAGCAAGTACCTAGGCGAGATGGCCAGAAACTGCGCAGTGCATGTGACGGTGACGAGGACTCAGAAGCTGGACTGTGCGACACATGCTGCCAGCTGCTGTGCTCGAGGCTAGGCAGGCACTGGACTGAAGCTCGCGGCCAGCGACCATAGCGCCCTCACCACTCACCTCCCACCATTCACCATTCACCATTCACCATTCACCATCCACCATTCCCAATTCCCAACGTCCGCCCGCAACCGCATCGCGAGCGCCGCACCGCAACAAGCCCCTCCTGCCGCGCCGACGACGGCTGCGCACATGCGCGGGACACACCATGGACGGCTTCGAGATCAACACCATGTCCTGGAACAACGTGTACCGGGACGGCGCTGTTGACGTGGCCGTGCAGCGCTCCGAGGGCATCCTGCCCATGGTGCCCATGGACCACCAGTACGACCAGCGCTCGACGTTTGACGCCGAGACGTTTGCGGGGTGCGTCACGCCCGCTGCACTGCACTGCACTGCACTGCATTCACTGTAGCTGTGTGCATTCATCACGTACATGACACTGACACGCCCGCAGCAGCGAAGACGCCTTCTCGACCTTCCACCTGCAACACGCGCCCGCCGCCCTGAAGCGCTTCTCCAGCACCTACGAGGACCCCTTCTCCGAGTCTCACAGCGTCTACGAGCAGTCGGTGCACCCCCACGACCACCATGGCCAGCCCGAGAGCCCCAGCATCGAGAGCAATCACAAGCTGCTCAGCTTCTCGCTGCCCAGCGCGCCCTACGCCATCCTCAGCTACGGCATGCAGCGCGTGCACATGACCATGACCGCCCAGCTGCACGGCATGTTCTTCCTCGCCGAGTCGCCCTGGGCAGCCGCCGGCGACGTGCAGACGTCGCCCACCGAGCTGACCTGCTACCGCCGCAACCTGTTCCAGATCACCGGCTCCGTCACCCTGCCGCGCGCCCTGCAGCTCATCATGACCGACCAGGGCGACCAGATCCCCATCCTGGGCACCGAGCTCGCCATCACCGCCACCGAGTCGCTCGAGGGCAACGCTGTCAAGATCATCTCCGTGCCCTGGAAGACGCCCGCCACCAGCAACGCCCCCGCAGAGGACAAGACGGAGAAGGAGCCGCCCACCTACCCGCTCGACCTGTCCACGGGCCAGGACATGGACTCGGAATACGTCAACTTCCCCATCAGCTGGAAGCGCCTGCAGTTCCGCATCGCCACCGCAAACAACGGCCGCCGCAAGGAGCTGCAGCAGCACTTTGTCGTGCGCCTCAAAGTCGTCGCCACACTAGCCACCGGTGCCAAGATCCCCATCTGCGAAGTCCACTCCGGCCCCATCATCGTCCGGGGCAGGAGCCCGCGCAACTTCCAGTCGCGCAAAGACATGCCCATCAGTGGCGGAGCTGCTGCTGCACGCAAGGCCCATGTGTCGCAACAGCCCAGCCGGACCCCAACGGCCGACACCCACCCAAACAACCAGAGCCATGCGCAGCCCCAGACCTCGAAGCCCATGGACGTGCTGCAGATGCCCTTCGACTTCAACGCAAACGACATTCCCATATCTCCAGACTTCCTCGAATGGAAAGTCCCAGGCGGAGGTGCCATGACTGCCATACCTCCAGACCCGCCCTCGTCGCAAATGCCCCATGCAACCCCCTATGCGCACTCAACGCCAGAGATTTCGAGGAGTGCGCCCCCGCCCCAGAGACCCTCGATAGCTCCCGTCACACTGTCGTTGACAGATGACGAGCCAAGGAAGGCACCGTCGCCCGGTGACCAAGGCCGCAAGCGAGCCACTCCTGTACGGCCACCATCTTTCTCAATTGGTGTCATTGGCAGTCCTGACGAAAGCGCCGACCTGTTGTATGAGTACTTTCCTCTAGGCCTCGACGACTGGATGCCGCCTGTCGATGCTGTGTACCGCCCACACGTAGTACACCATACCAATCTGCCGCAGGATCCAAAGGCACTCGCTGTGCAGAACCGTTCAAAACGCTACTTCTCTGATGCATTTTGAGCGCTCGATCGCGTATTCAACACGTTGCACAACTGCGACGGCGCTGAGAAACTTTCGAACCCGGAATTTCTCATGGTCCTCCAACAAACACATTGGCTGTCTTCCAGACCAGGTTTAGGATATTGCTTTCCTAGCATCTCACCATAGTTTAGATGTGAGTCCATCAGTCTAACAGAACCGTGCGCCAGGTCTGCGGGATCCTAGCCGGACTATATGGCCGAGTCTGGTTCTTTGGTGGACAGCAACAGCATCTTATTGTGAGCCAGCAACCTTTACAGATATCCAGGTCAAACCGACAGGTCAAATCGACAGGAACAGTGATCGTGGTGTGAGAAGACTGAAGAGGCGGACAGAAGTTTCCTAGTGGATAAAAAAGGTGAACTGTGACAGCAGGATCTGTCTTGTACGATCATTTTACAGACACGGTACTCGAGCAGAGGCACTTACGACGAGACGACAGACATTGCATTCCAAGGTCAAGCCGTGGAAATATTATGCACCACTGGCTTTCTCGAATACTATTCCTATGCCACATGGTTGGATATCATACATTGCATCCGCTACTTCTTCTCGATCTAATCGGATGTCCACGTCACATCGGGTAACCTCAACATAAGCACGAATTTCGCCTTTTTTTTCAGGCTGCGACCGGCTTACGTTGGCTAAACAAACCGAGAAAAACGACATGATGCCGATGTTTTTGCTGCTGCTGCAACATACCGTATCGCGCCTGTGTTCCATTTCGAATTGCTTCAAGGGCATATGAACGCAGCGTTTGCTTTTGAGGACAGTAGTAACGGAGCAATGTCACAGCAGCAGCACTCCTACGTGTCAAGACGCATCGCAAGGATACGGCAAGGCGAACTCCATCTAGGGTAACCATACTGCCACCCATAGAGCCCATCAATCCATTACCTCAATGTCGCCGACATGAAAGTAAAGCTGTCCAGACCGTCAAGCGATACTCACCGGTCCAGAGCTGAGCTGCAAGGGCGGCTTCCGTGCTTGCGTTGTGGTATGTGGCCATCAGGCCGATGGACCCCAGCGATGCAACCTACTGTTACTTCCGCCAGAAAGAGCCGAGTGTCACCACAACTTTCGAACAGCCGACCCGAGTGGGCCAAGAGAACACGAAATGTTTTCAGAGCGATAAATCTCTAAGCGCCATCGTTATCTTCTGCTACCCGAGACTTGATCAAATGAGCTATGAGCGTGCACTACCAGTTACCGTTGCCTAGTCGGTGAGGTGGGTCGACACGGATCCACGTGGTTGTGGATACAAGTTCGAAGACTTCGCTACCGAGAATCCACCGGAGTCTTAGCCGGCCTGGGGCCTCGTGAGGAAGGCGTAATTTGCAGATGGCGTAGTTGCACCGCAACACCCAGCTAAAATCCGAGATATCTAGGCGGAATCGAAATCATAAGAAGCGCACCTTCCCATTCAAGGCCTTTGCTCCGCTCCATATTGCATTCCAGTCATGCGTGTAAGCCGATTGTCCATAGCAAACATGCCCTTGGTGTCTAGGTTACGGGGCGCTGCAACTGTATCAACGTGCGAAGCTCAATTGACCTGGTGGCCCTGCCAGGGTACCAGCTGTGTCTCAAAAGTCACATTACTTTGTTCCCACATTATATTGTAAGCATGCACACTCATCACTAAGCATAACTACCTAGGCATTTGGTGCGGGCGGCCTAGACCTGTCCTGGTCCTGATGCTACAATGCCATTATGTGGGCACAATCGGAATCCCACTCAAGTCTGAATTCTTGCTGTGTGCATTGCTTCATAACAGCCGAACTGTTGATGCTCGTTCTTGCAGCCCATATGCCACCTTGCTCTGAAAGCTGAGTTGAAGTTAAGACAAGCAGTCGCTGTAAAAAGATGAACAAGTTATAGTATTGCATAGAATTTGATCATTTTCGTGCTCGTAAATCCTTGCCAATCGTCCGTAGACGATCAAAGCTTGCTCGAACGCCCATGTCAATATGCAAAAGTTCGTGATGTTCTAGTCCAAGCGGGCTGTGAATGCGAAAAGAGAATGCTCAATGCCAACGTAAGTTCGTGGATATATACAGAATACGCGAAGAGTTGTTGGAGCAAAAAAGAAATCGCTTGTGAAGATGCCGTAGATGAACGAGCGAGCGCCAGGGGTGGTTATCTATTGTTTTTCGAGACAGCACACGGCGACTGCTGCGCCAAATATAGCTGACTCTAGTGCGATTTCGAGTGATATCGACTTTGGTGCTGCCCCGGATCCGGTTGTCAATTCGTCTAAATGCGACTGACAGAGTTCTTTGAAGAAAGGATATTTTTCAATGACTGAACCGTTACAGCCAATGCTCATGTGACCAGCAGCTTCAAGTGCCAAACCTTCGGATTGTGTCCGCAGTGCCCATAATGCGTGAATACCAGTGGCAAGAAAAGCCGCTGCACGGTGTGAGACGAGCTGGGAGACCTGGCGAATGAAGTGGATATCGTTATAAGTAGGTGGTTTGCTGAGGTGATGCCTTTGTTGGAAGAGTGCCGTCGCGTTTGTGTAATGCTTCGAATGATCCATCTCCATTGCCGCAATCGTTCCAGTATCTAGGGAATAGGGCTCCGATAGGTTCTCTGGCATCTCGCCACTGAACAGACCTGCCGTTCGCACGGCTTCCACAATAATTAATCGAACAATTTCCCCAAGATAGCGACCGCTGATCATGTGCTCAAAAGGTTGAAAGTCCGGGCGTACGTGGGTGTCGTTCAATTGGTCATCCCACCTCGTGGTGGGAAACACGTTCTTTCCGAACATGCTGCATTCGGTGTTAACAAGTACATGAGTGGCCTCATCCAGCCACGTTTGTGGATAGCCTTTGTATTTGGTAGATGCAAGTGACGAAACAGGTAGATGCACAGAAATGTTGAACCCAGTGCCCAGGATGACGGCGAAACGTGTCGACGGGTCCTCATAGGCACGTGATAGCAATGTTGCCGAGGAATCATTGACGATGGAGTCCATGTGAACGGGTAAGTTCTGGCCAAGGAATTAGCATCCGTCAAGCTCGAAGCGTTACAAGCGAGTCTTACTCTCTTTCTGCACGGAGTCATGATTAACTCGCTCAGGTCCTGGCCGAGAAGACCTTCAGTTGCACGGAAACCCTTGCCCATATCCAGCAGGTTCGCGCTACGAGTTGAGGTTTGCCTAGCGATATATATTAGCTACGAACATGCCTTGGCCACGACAATGGGCACATACTGGACAGGAAAGGACCATGCTAAGCCCATGGGAAAGCTCTTAGTGCTAGCCACGCTCTGCAATTGAGGATCGGCGAGGGCTTGTTGAATCTTATCGGCCATCCAGTCAAAGAATTGGGTGCCGCTCCGTTGCCGCACTTTCTCGTCGATCTTGAAAGTCATCATGGTAACGATGCGCATGTGCTTGGCGTCGACCGACTTCCCGTTCAGTTCCACTAGTGCAATGCGGAATGTCGAGCCGCCAACGTCAAGTGCGAGGTAAGTTCCAGTTTCAAGGCCAGTTGGTAGCTTGTGGTTGTAAGAGGGCAACATGCAAATGTCACTAGCCTGAAGTTTCGGGGCAAACTGCTCCTGTAGTTCGGTCGACATTTTCAGCAGCTTTGCGGGCTCGAGCGGGGCTTCCAGCAGTCGCTGAATTTCGCGCAAGAGGTCGTCCAAGGTGCGGTCATATGTTCGAAGTGCATCTCGCACACGTCTCCGCGAAGACATGGTTGGGAGCACGGCGTGAAGCAGAGATGGTAACATGGCGATGCGCTCCAGAGCCGCGAGCAGGCCCTGCCAGAAGTCGAACATGGGCCCTTTGTACCAGCAGCGGTGCGTGTTGGCGGACTCCGGAGGACCAGAGTCACGATGGTGGTCAGGTTCCGAGATGATGGTGACGCGGCGTCTTTTGAAGCGTTTCAGCAGCAGGGAGGGCATGGATGGAGGGACACACAGGTATGCGTGTGAATGGGTGACAACGAGGGCAGGTCTTAGAATGCAAGTCGTTTGCAGGTGTTATATCTGACGTGGAGGGGCCAACGACAAGTTCCAGGGTTGAGGATTGCAATGCACGTAGACTTCAGGCGCGCCGTAGGCATTAGCAAATCGATGTCGCAAACGGCTCTTAAGCATGGTGGTACGGCTTGTCAAAACATTGGAAGAGGTTGTATCCGCTAGAAGACGTAGCAGGAAATGCTCCGGCGTCTGGCGTGCAGTGGCCGGGCGATGAGGCACGGCAGACAGGGCAGCAAGGGCGACTGCGGGGATCAACGAGGAAAGGCGGCAGAAAAAAACCCAGCGGAGCACGCGTGTGGCCGTAGGCAGAGCCAACGTGTCACTTGCGCGAGGTACGCTGCGATAGGAGACTGGCGAGCGCAGGGCGTCATGGCGAGTGCTGGTGGGGTCTTTTGGGGTTGTTTCTCGACGGCCATGCTACCGTTACGTCGGCATGGTCAGCTAGGCTGTATCGGGACCCAAGCCCTAGCCCCAAGCAGGCGTGATAGGAGTCGAGTGGTGGAGTTTGCCGCGGACGTGATTCAACCAATTTGCAGGCATTATGCGGCAGTGGCGATCATCGAACCCTGTATCGGCGACGGTGTATCGAGGGTGCAACCATAATTAGAGAGCCACCATCGCAACGTTGGAACCGCGCAGATGCGTGCGGGAAGGGCACGTGCGGTTCCGATGCACTGCTGCGCCAAGCGCAGGTATCCTGCCTATCAGCGATGGTCATGTGCGCTTCTTTCAATCCTCATCTCAGCACTGGGCGAGGGGCCATGTATGGTAGCAAATATGGCCTACACCAAGCAGCTCCCTGGCGCCGCCGGATGGACAGCTATCAAGATCGAGGGCTGGTGGTACACGTACCCCGCGCGAGCGTAACCACCCAGGACGCCTCGTGGGCCAGGGAGGACGCCTGTCGCGGATGCAAGGCGGACTGGAAAGCAGCATAGACATCGTGCTCCATCTCGTGTGGTCAGAACGAGCCGGCTGTTGTCAGATCACTCCCGAGTAACAATGGCTTCTAGATAGCGCAAGCCCGGGAGTGGCCGCCGTGGTGCACGGAAATAGTCTAGATGCGGCCATAAGCAGACCCGCCCTAGTTCAACCAACACATCGCCATTGCCGCCATCCTGCTCGCAGATAGGTAGTCACTTCAGGCGTCCTTCGCCGGCTGTATCAGGAAGACCCTCAAGTCTCACTGGCAAACAGCCCGATGTACGGAATGAATGATCGCGTTCCACGCGAGGGACATGAAACAAGGTTTCCTCTGTGTCACCTTCTGCGACTGTACTATCGCAATTGCGTCATAACAAAGAGGATCACTCAATTGTGCAGCTAATGTTTGAGATGTGCATTATCTGGCAGAGACCCGTCACTGTTCACCAGAGTGCGCGCGTGTAACCCCAGGCTTCGTGACTGCGAAGAAATGTACAAAAAACCAAGGCCATCAGACTAGGAAAAGGTATCATGAGCTCCAATACACACAACGATGAACTCCGCCCCAAATACCGCAAGAATAGAATCATTACATGGTCATTAAGTCAAGGCATTAATCAGACCTTGATATGTTCGCCCGGCGCTGTAGTCACATGCTTTGGAGCGACTTCCGCGACGGTATCGTCTGTGAACTCCACATCTTTCTCCAAAGAAACAGTGTCTTCTACCTTCCAAAGGATAACAGGAAGTGCGATGAGGAGACTGCCAGCTAGAAGGCCCCAATTCGAGGCAAACATTGACATGAAGGGTATTTTCATGTCGTCCAGGCGCCAGGTGATGGCACCACCAGCGGACTGGATACCCTTGTAGAATCCTGCAAAATTGGCGAGCTTACGACCGTTGTTGGTCAAAGCACCCATGAACCAGTAGACGCATGTTTGCCATGCGGCATCGGAGAAGCCATAGAACATGTAAAGCACAAAAGGTCCAGCATAGCCCGCGTCTGTCCAATCGTGTTGTGTATCGTTGGCCTTGGCGTCCTCGGCCCACTTGCGATCATATGTCTTCTGGAACATGTACCCAAAGCCCCAGATGATCATGATGAGGGTAAAAAGCGATGCCCACGCAGCTTTGGCACGGGTCGTTCGGCGTACACCCTTGAAGTCGAGCGCGAAACCGAAGACGTAGGCACCGATGATTTGCATGATGTAGTAGACAACTCCGTTCAGCGCGCGTGTCCGTGTGTTGAAGTAGGCGTTGTTGATCTCGGTGAAGTGGTACGCGTAAAACCAGTTGGAGGCAAGGAACATTGGGAACAAGAGGATGATGTAAGCGTCGGTGAAGAATGTTTGCCACAACCCTACAATCTCAGACTTCCACGAGGGGTGCTTCATAACGATGACCTTGGATCCGTCCGCTCGGATAACATCCCTGGCATCGACTAGGGTCCAGGCCAGGGCAGCACCAAGGATGGTCAAGATCAGGAAACCAATATACGTGCCGTCATTGACAGACGACGCGACTTTGGTATTCATGTTCTGACCCAGGGGAATCTGGCGAAATTAGCAAGAGTCGAGCGGGTTATGTTGCAATACGCAATGCAAAGCATAGCATGACGTACCAGACTACCAATAACGGCGCCCAAATTGAAAATCATCCAGAACCAGGAGATGTAACGACCCTTGGAGGCCTCGGGCGGGTAGGACATCATGATAGCGCCCTGCGCACACCATAGCAGACCAGCACACACACCGAGCAACGCACCCGCAAATGTGGTGAAGCCTAGGTTCTTTGTATGGTTGTACGAAAGATAGGATGCCACATAGACAGAATAGCCAATGCCTCCGAATGACAGAGCAGTGCGGATGCCCAGCTTGTTAGTGAAGGTGCCTGCGAAAAAGCCAACGACGGCAAAGGTTGAATACAAAGCTGTGTTGGCCTTGTTGTTCGCAGTTGGATCGAGCTGACCGCCCCCGCCCATGCCGTTGAGCGCGTTGAACATGCCCGGGCACATGAAGCAGACAAAAGACACAATGATGAGCTGCACCGGCGGCGATGCAAACCACGGAAGCTTGTAGCCCAAGATGGTAAATCGCTTGTACTTCCAGTTGTTGGGGAGTTCGAGAGTGGTGCTGTCCGCCATGGAATGGTCGGTAGAGCTTGTTGCATGGGTGAGCTGGGAGTGGGCTCTTTTCGTCGTGGTCTGAAAGCGTGGCCATGTTGGTAGCGAGTGACGTTGTCGGCGCGGGTGCCCGACGAGTTGCTAAAGCCTGCCGGAGTCGTGAGGATGATGTGGTGGGGCAGCCGACGAGGCTGGAGAAACCAACAACAACGATGCGACCAGGGGGAATAAGATATGCTGAAAGACGCGACTCGCTCAAACCTCGGGAACGTGCGATACTCGAAGCTATATTTAAGTGCGGATTGACACGGTCGAAAAAGTGAGGGGGAGCTTCTTTAAGCACCTGTCAGCTAGGGTCCAAGGCTCGCTCACGGTCCCTTTACAGTCCTGCCCGTATCCAGTAAACGAGCCATGGAACCAAGACGCACGCGACACACCCACGGTCCTGCCCACATCTGGCCAACTGCGAGGGAAAGATAATAGAATTCACGCCTCAAGGTCATGGCTTGTCGGGGATTTGCTGGTGCTGCAGACGACCCTTGCCAGCAAGCACGCACCGGTATTGGCGACCCCAGCTTGTAACACCACGACTAACACCCCCGACTAACACCCCCGACCGGTTATCGTGTTGGTGGCAGCCAGCGGTGCAGCACCAGCTCCACGGGAGGCGTTTTCTAGCAGGGTTCGGAACCCAAGTCGACGCCCGTAGCGGGACTTGTGGAGGGCCTTTATCTGTAGCCGTTGGCCGATGACTCGACGCCCCGGCCCACAAGGGCACACTAGAAGCAAGCCGTCGCAGCCACCATCACCAACGCTCTCCGTTCGCCACAGCCCGCCCTTGGAGAAGATGTAACCTCACCTCCTCATCGTCTCGGCCATACTGCATGCCTTATCGTGAGTCTCCAGTTTCGTGCTGTGCCGCCAGATGCTCATTTCCTGTCACGGCCAACTCCCCGAGGCAGAGTGAGCCTCATGGCACCCTCGTTGCGTGTCATTCAATCTTTCGATAACAGATGCTGCTTTGCGTAGCATGGCATGGAGCCAGGGGTCAGCATGCCACTCAGTCTGTACAGATAGGCGCGTTGTACTACCACGTTCACCTGGCCTTTCACTGCAGCGTCGCACAGTCCGGGTGACTTTTACGAGCGGAACATCAGCGTTGGAAGGAAGCAGAAGCTCTGGAGAATCATGTTCGCATTCGGTAAATCTGCCCGCTGTTACGTTTTGACAAAGAACGTGTCATTGACCAACGACGGGACTTTTGTTGCATCATGTTGGCTCTCCAACTGTGACGTGGATTCTTCATCTGCATACTCTGTCAAGTTCATTTAGTTTGCAGGCAGACGCTGTGAATCCCGAATTTTCAATCTTCGCCCAGCCCAGACACGCCCGATCATATCACACGAAACTTCATCATGTATGCACATGCACTGCCCCTTCAGATTACAGCAGGACGCTTACCGCTTATAGGCGGCTAATCATTCGAGACGACGCTCAAGCTGCATCCGAGTACATTGCTGACTATATCATTGGTGCATGCTCTTCTCCCTTACGCAGCCTCGACAGCAGCTGATGACCATCCACAGAACGCATCAAAGGATTCAATCCTACTGCTGACAGGCCATTCGTGTTGGGTTTGCCAACTGGAAGCAGCCCAGTCTTGATTTACCAAAACCTCGTTTGGCGCCACAAAGCTGGTGAAATTTCATTTCGTAATGTGGTCACCTTCAATATGGTATGACATGTTGTCCTGCGGGTCTGTTACACCCTTGGCTTGGGACGTAACACAACAACCATTGCCCCGAATCAGGCTGACTGATTAGGACGAATACGTTGGCATCCTCGCGGGACCATCCAGAAAGCTACCACAGTTTCATGTACAAGCATTTTCTTCTTCTCATGGTCGACGTGAACCCGGCAAACATCCATATTCTCGATGGAAATGCAGCCGATCTTGAGGCAGAATGCCAGCAGTACGAAAGAAAGATTCAGCAAGTCGGTGGTATCGAGCTTTTTCTGGGTGGTATTGGGCCGGACGGGCACATTGCCTTCAATGAACCAGGGTTCCAGCCTCAAGTCTCGCACCCGTGTGAAGACCCTTGCATACGACACAATACTGGGCCAACTCGAGGTTCTTTGACAATGACTTGGATCAGTGCCCAAAATGGCGCTTACTGTTGGTGTGCAAACAGTATTGGACGTAAGTAGAGAGCGCTTCCAAGTCGTAGCGGTGGCTGACGATGCGACAAGCGCCGGAAGGTGGTCATCATTATCCACGGAGCACACAAAGCTTTAGACCTTGCAGAGATGCATCGAAAGGCCGGTGTAAACCCGCATGTGGACACTGTCTAGCCTACAATTACATGCACATCCAATGATTGTCGTCGACGAGGATGCCACGCTAGAGCTACAGGTCAAGACTGTCAAAGTAAGAGTCGATGTCTTCCAGCGATAGCCATCTAACACGTCGCAGTACTTCAAAAGCATAGAGCGAGTGGGAAATGAGCTTGGCTTCAGACAGAAGCTGCCCTGCAAGCGTGATTCAGTTGTCGATGGAGGAAACTCGCCTCTCTCGACGACACGTCGGACTGCGCTGAAGTTGAGCGTCGGACAGTTCGACATGTCTCGCTCGGCCAGTCCACTGCTCGAGCCGATGAGTGCTCGGCTGTCTGATGAAGAGGTGACAACTCTGCTTCCCATGGACGCACTTGAGGACTCGCCCACGACGCGTATGAGTGCTCGTGTCGGGGTGTGAATAGTTGCAGGCAGCTAGGCATAGGCTGGTATTGGGATACGTTCAATAATTAGACTGGTGGAATGTCCATGTGGTGTTTGTACACACGACTTTCTCCGTGTGTTCATGGTGTTGTATAATCTTGGATGTCTGATGTCGAAGGGCTCGCAGCAACATGTGAAGGCTGCGGCGGGGGTGTTGACGTAGCAATACCTCGGCACATGCAGCATCTCAATGCAGCCCGAGGAGGCATGATGCTAGCTTCCCCAGATTGCACGTAAGCACAACAACAACAACATGGTCAACGACTACGACGACGCCGTTGCCGCCGCCGCTGCCGCCGAATCGACGCAAACACGCCAACATGTCGTCGTCGTCGTCTCCATCGCCGGACAAGGCGCAGACGCAGACACAGACGATTGATCCCGTGCTGCGCAATGCGCTTCGCTACACCATCAGCGCAAAGGAGTATGAGCTGCTGCACCAGTATCTGCTGTCGCACGCGCCCGCCGTCCGCAAACGCACGCCGCACCCGAACAAGTTCGACGCCATCTCCCAGGGCCCCGACGACTACAGTGTTGCCGCCATCCGCGCGTCTCTGCGGCTGGCCGTGGCCACCCTCTCCGGCCTGAAGGCGTGGGAGCTGGTCAACACCAAGCTGCTGCGCCGGGGGACCGCGACACATGCCCCCTCGCCGCGCACGCCCGTCTGGAAGTCGCCCAACGTGCGCCTGAGCAGCTCGCTGGCCCTCATCTTGCTCTTCCACCGCCTCCTCCGCCGCTTCTTCGTCCGCCTCCGCCAAAGCCTGCTCTCCCCCGACGCAAAGTCCTTCCGCCGCCGCAATCCACGTGTGGCCCGCCCCCTCACCTCCAAGCTTGCGCCCGCCATCGGCTCCAGTGCTCGCCGGCCTCTTCCTCGCAGTCTGCCCTGGCGACCAGCTGCGCATCTCCGTCGCCATCTATGTCTTCACCCGCGCCCTCGAATTCGGCTACAACCACCTCGAAGAGCTGGGCTACTCCAGAAACACGCCCTCGTGGTTCGGCTCGTGGCTCATTATGCCCGTCGCATGTGGCCAGCTCCTCCACGCTTTCGTCTTCGACCGCGACTGCTTCCCTGCAGCGTACGGTAAGCTGATTCTGAACAATTCCCCCGAGTACATACGCAAACGTCCGGCCCACTACCCTGCCCACCTGCCTTGGCCCACTGCAACCGACATCGCCGACAACCTGGCAGCCATCTCGAGGCAGCGCTGGCCACCCTTCGTCTCGCCCATCCTGTTCCCTACACACGAGACCCTTCCCACGAGTCTGGCGTCCATGTCCGCCATATCTTCGCCTGCACAATCCAGCCATCAAGTCTCTGGTCGTGCGCACTTCTCCACCCACAGGATCCGTCATGCTTGCGCAACCTATGTACCAATACTGGATCCAGGCCTTTCCCAAGGTCCGCTCGTCTGTTCACTGTGTATTTCACCGCCATGAGTCTGGCGCGCTACCGCACTTTCCTCAAATCGCCCATCTCGGCAATCAACAATCTAGCCAAGAACATTCTCCGCATGACTCTCTTCATTTCCGGAGCCATCGGCACCAGCTGGGGCTCAGTGTGCCTGTTTCAGCACTTCTTACCACGTACTTTGCTCCCTACACAGCGCTGGTTCTTTGGAGGCTTCCTTGGTGGCTTATGGGGATTCCTCGAGCGCAAGAAAGGACGTGCAAATTTCCTATACACAGCCCGCATGTCGATCGACTCGCTGTGGAAGGTCGGTGTCAAGAAAGGTTGGTGGAGAGGCATCAAGAACGGTGATGTGCTCTTGTTTGTTTTGAGTTTGGCCACAGTCAATGCTCTGTATGAGATTTCGCCTCAGAGCGTCAACAGCGGTGTTGCGCGGAAGGGTCTGGGTGTACTCAGGGGAGAAGGGTGGGTCGATCGCGCAACCGTACCACCCGAAGACGAAAGACAAGCAAGTGACTAAGTCACTGGTCTCGATATGCGTTCAACGGTTTGGGATTGTACCATGCATAGTAACTATTCCACACTTCTTTTTCAATTCTTCTGGGCAATGTAGCCAACGGGTATGACGAAGCTATGAATCGTGCAGATATCGCATCGAATTATTACACATTAAGAATAATGAATCCAACAAGTGCATTCCATATTAGAAGCTCACACACATTCCATGACCTCTCACTCAAGGCTCATGCCCTCGGCCACACTTTCCAAGTCCTCCTTGGTACCGCCATAGACTGCTGGAATGTCCACCCCAAGCTCTCCCGCCAGTTGATTTCCATAGCTTAACACAGCGAACTTCTTCGCCGTCTCCTTTGCCACAATCAGCTTCGCAGCCGTGTACATCCAGCCCATGATGACCGGCACGTTGACGAAGAACTTGCGCGACAGCGTCTCGGGGTAGTATCTGCCAAGAACTTCAATAGTCTTGGAGGTTGCGGCCTTGACGGCGGGATCTTGCCGGAGGAAGGATACTTGGAGATAATCATGGATCTGGAAGCCCTGGTACGGGTCGGGTCCCTCGCCGTAGTTTGGGACGGGGGTTGTGGCAGATGCGAGGTTGAGCTTCTGGACCGACTTTTCCATGAGCCCGACGCGCCAGCGCAGGAAACTGTCAAGACGCATTAGGAGAATGCCCCAACACAATCTACGCCCCAAGAAACTCACCCTTCGAGATCCCCAAATGTAGCTTTCTTGTCTTTGACAGCACCATAGATGTTGAACGTGACAACATCCTTTTCATTCTTACTCTCCGGGACACCTTGGACCTCCAAAACGTATCCTAGGCCCCCAAACCTCGTCTTGTCAAACTTCTCGCCCGTCGCCTTCACAGGATCAAACTCCTTCCTCCACTTGAGCGTCTCCAGTAATTGCTGTTTGGCCTTATCCAAGTCATTCTGATTGGCGCGCAGGAACTTTTGCAGTATAAGTTTCGTCTGGAAGGGATTTTCTTTGGTCAGGAGGATGCCGTAGACCTCGTTGTGCTCGGCGCTCTTGATAACGTCCTCGAAGATATCGTAGAATTTGGAGAGCGGATGATCGGGTGCTGTTGCGGGCCAGGAGGGTCCTGTCGTGGGCTGGACGGTATCCACTGTGGGTGCTGATGGGGCTGCAACAGTCCCTTTCTCCTCTTTTTCTTCTCCTCTGGCTGTCTCCTTGTCGCTGAGACCGAGACTGCTCAGATCCTTGGCTGTGTCGTCGACCTTCTCATCGGATTCTACCACGGGCATGGCCGGATTAGCAGTTTCTACAGGACCAGCGTGCCGGCAGGCGC